TTCACTGCTGTTGATATGTCCCAACAACACATGCAGCATGAGGTTGTGTGTTTTCCTACTGCAAAATAATGTTAGGTTGGCTGATGTGGTTAAAAGGAAAAACGTAATGGCATATTGTTTCGTCACTGTAGCACATATAGGTGACGTTACCTTCCTCCATAACCAAAGAGGTCCTTCCATGCTTTGTAATTCCTACTTAATCCGTAATTCTCCTTTTGCCAAACTGACTATACTGAATTATACAAAAACCATGGTAACATTCTCCCAACCAATGGTACACCTGAACATGGCTATTTTTAGACTGCTAGAAGGGTGAAATCTGGACTTATTTGTGAGTAGAACTTTCGACTAGTCCTTGTTGGTGAATCGCAGATGTCTTCAGCATAATTCTAGGTGCTTAGCTCTGTGACATTAAATTAAAATTGGATGGGTAGCGAGACAACACAGCAAGATGTTGACCTTAAACAATCTGTTTGGTATAATTGTGGCACTCATATCAAAGTCCAGGAATGCTTCTAGAAGGCAATGAAGAGGAATTTAACTGCTTACACAAATGTGATGTCTGAATACCTGGTATATATCTCTTACTGACTTGAGGTCACAGTTGGATGCCCTGTTTGTGGGCAGTCCCCTAATGTGTTTTTCTGCAGATTATGTCTCCACAAAGTTTTTATCATTAATGTGCACCCCACACTGTTATGACACAACATTCTTAGATAATCTAGCCTTTAACATGGTATCCGTACATTCATGTTTGTGGCAAAATTCTTTGGAAAAACAATGGTTTTCTGAAACACTGCATAGAATACTACCATACATGCAAAAATTTTAAGCTGTTCTCTTTGTATGCATTGCCTAGGCTCACAACCAAAAAAGAAAGAAAACAAAAAAAAACATGCATTAACCATTGAAGCATATCAAAAAATCAAAAGTTTAAAGCTTTTTCCTGTTGAACAAACTTTTCAATACTTCAAAATTTAGTTTTGGAAATTATATTGATGAGGAAAATATTCTCTTTTAATTTTTTTTCTTTTTAAAAATTTTCAACATACATGGGTTTCCCCAACACCTATTGAAAAGAGTTTATTCTGATTTCTCTAGTTAGTCTGAATACATAGTGGTTTAACGCCTATTGAAATAATGTGTTCAGAATTGCTCAGGTCAGACCAGCAGGATAGAAATTGTTTCGGTACAAGTATTTAGCGAGCTGCAACACCTGTTGAGACTGTGTATTATTATTGCTCTATTTAACTCAAGAATGAATTATCCCAACACTGAAAATGTATGATCATTTCTTTTCTGTTAGCAGGAGTTTAATTATGCAGATAAGATAAATGGGTTACCTTCAGACTACAAGGGTAATGTCTGCATAGCTCTTAAATCCTGATTTTTTTTTTAAAGTTTTGTATCATTATGAATACATGGTTGAGAAGATTACCCTCTGACCTGTATTAAGGAGGTACATTACATATCTACCTGAATCTATCCTTCTACATTAAAATCCCTCATTTTTCATTGGACGACTTGAATACATTGAAGAGGCCATCTAACATGGCTTGTCTGTGTTTCTGTTTAAGTACATGTAACCTGAATGCTTTTCCTTATGTACAGAGGTGAAATAAAATCTGAAATAAAGGAATTCTAGACAGTGTGTATGATGAATGCAAACAAGAGAAACCTTAAACTGAGATATATTATATAACTGCCACAATAGCAAAATTGTAGCGTAAACAAGGCTGCATACATGCAAGTCGTACAGGTCTGATGCGGCCTCATGTGTTGGTAAGTCAGTTTCCTCATTTACATTCTTAGACAATTCATTATTCTTCTTTTCATTTTCGTTTTTTTTTTTATTATTAAAATTTGCTATTTATAATACCCAAAGTTAAAATTGATTCCTTAAAATTTATGAGATTTATGTATTTGAAGTAGAAACAAAATGACAAATGATATATTGTACAGAAATGCAAGAAACACATGTATGTAAGGACTGTTACTTAGGTATAAGGAAAGGATGTAAAAGGATGTTTAATCCCGTAATCTATCCTGCTGTTGGGGAAATGATTAGAATATTTGATATCTCTGTATACCTGACCTTGTGGAGTTATTTCTCAATATGTTGAGAAATGAAAACATATTGTGTTGCCATGTAAAGCCTGAGTAATTTTTAAGCAAGAATATAAGGTAAGACATACCCACTATTCATCTCCCAATATGTCAACCCACATCCGAGCTTCATCATTTATACTGATGTCTGCAGGTTAACCTTAATTTCAAGGTTATAAACCTGGAGACCTGTCTAGGTAAGTATTGGTGTCTGGTTGACTCAACCACTGATGTACATAATGTGACTTGGTGCACGGATATATGTATCCAGTCAGATTGCATGTATTCATATCATGTTACACATTCCTGGTGTCCGAGGACACATTTAACCTATAGATATATATTGAACTAGAGTTACTAAGAACTTAGTCGTGTACAAATTTATTATCAGTTTCTCAAACGAGAGTTATTTTTAGACTTAGTTTCATGATGGAGTAAACATATTAAAAAACACATTTCTTTCTGTCCATTCAGACTTCAATTGGCCACCCACTGTGATTTAGATAGAGCTAGTGTGACAGATCAAACTTCAATACACCACATAAGCAGTTTGTACCAAAATGCCCACGAATTCATATCAGATTTTCATGAATAATCATGAATAAATAAATTAAGGTAATGCCTATTGAAAATGGAAATAACCAGTATTTTTACATCAAAGGTAAGGAAATTCTGTCAGTTTTATCTTCCTTAACAATGACTCTTTACATTAAAGGTCAGGAAATTCTGTCAGTTTCACCTCCCTTAACAATAACCCTCTACATTAAAGGTAAGGAAATTCTGTCAGTTTCACCTCCCTTAACAATGACCCTTTATATTAAAGGTAGGGAAATTCTGTCAGTTTTATCTTCCTTAACAATGACTCTTTACATTAAAGGTCAGGAAATTCTGTCAGTTTCACCTCCCTTAACAATGACCCTTTATATTAAAGGTAAGGAATTCTGTCAGTTTCACCTCCCTTAACAATGACCCTCTAAGTTAAAGGTAAGGAAATTCTGTCAGTTTCACCTCCCTTAACAATGACCCTTTATATTAAAGGTAAGGAATTCTGTCAGTTTCACCTCTCTTAACAATAACCCTCTACATTAAAGGTAAGGAATTCTGTCAGTTTCACCTCCCTTAACAATGACTCTTTATAGTAAAGGTAAGGAATTCTGTCAGTTTCACCTCCCTTAACAATGACTCTTTATATTAAAGGTAAGGAAATTCTGTCAGTTTCACTTCCCTTAACAATGACCCTTTAAGTTAAAGGTAGGGAAATTCTGTCAGTTTCACCTCCCTTAACAATAACCCTCTACATTAAAGGTAAAGAATTCTGTCAGTTTCACCTCCCTTAACAATGACCCTTTAAGTTAAAGGTAAGGAAATTCTGTCAGTTTCACCTCCCTTAACAATAACCCTCTACATTAAAGGTAAGGAAATTCTGTCAGTTTTATCTCCCTTAACAATAACCCTCTACATTAAAGGTAAGGAATTCTGTCAGTTTCACCTCCCTTAACAATGACCCTTTAAGTTAAAGGTAAGGAAATTCTGTCAGTTTCACCTCCCTTAACAATAACCCTCTACATTAAAGGTAAGGAAATTCTGTCAGTTTCACCTCCCTTAACAATGACCCTTTACATTAAAGGTAAGGAATTCTGTCAGTTTCACCTCCCTTAACAATAACCCTCTACATTAAAGGCAAGAAATTCTGTCAGTTTCACCTCCCTTAACAATAACCCTCTACATTAAAGGTTAGGATATTCTATCAGTTTCACCTCCCCATATAATGACCCTTTTCATACTATTTGCATCTTCTCTTAATTTAGAATAATACAACCTTTTGACCATTTTACATATGTCGAAGTTATTCAATATGATATGATTCTTTTAACAATGAAATTGTAACCAGTTGTGATAATTAATTTTTTGCAAACTCTTGTACATAAATGTTTATATCTTCCCTTGTAATTACGTCCCCTTAATTTACAAAGCCATAACAGTTTATTTTTTAGACCCCGTTACTTCAATGATGTTATTTTCCATTTTAAGAATTGAAGTGTTGGGTCTATTCATTGACATTGTATAGTTCCCCTTTTTAACACTGTCGGAATTTTATGTCTAGTCTGGACATGTTCTGGCTATTAAAAAATAATGAGTTATTTCCCCTTTTGTTTACAATGTTTACTTTTGCTGTTGCCCATTACATAACTATAAACCTGTGCATACTTTGTACATTCCAATCAGAACAAATTTGCCTTGTTTATTCCGATACGCCCCTTCTATTCTGTGGGAAATTGAATTAAATGCCAACTCTGTGTCATTTTAGTTACACGTCTTGAAATCAATTGTTAAATGCAGTTGTGCAAATTTTGGAATTGCTGTATAATAAATATCACGTTCTGCGCGTACTCATTGTTAATTGTTGTGATGAGAGGGCTTTCTTTCCTAGATATACTCCCACTGTTTTACCTTCACGTGATGTGAGGCCACGTGTAGCGTGGCACCGCATGTTAACCAGGAGGGGACAAAATAACAAAATTATGTGATAATGTCTTTGTATTGTGATAATATTAGCCTTTACTAAACCGGTTTGTGATAATGGGTCTGATTCCAATGCTTGGATTATCAAACATGGGTATAATACAGTGGCTTGTGTAGGAGGGTTACAACACATGTGAGGTTTACAAGAAACGGTACACTCCTTAACAGACAGCGACATTTTACATGTTGGCTTCTACAGAGGCTGTGAGTTACCAAATCACAACAGCTTTGTGTTCCTTCATAACTTAAAAATTTGCAGAGAGGCTTAAATTTTGTTTCTAAATTTTTCATTACAATGAAGATACCAATTCTATGATATAATTTACTTCATATTTTTCAGGTTTAGAGACACTGTGATTTTGTAGTACGTGACATACAGATCATGGAGGAGCTGAAGCAGGGATACAGGCTGTTGGTGTTGATGGTGGTTATCACAGGGATGGTGTCTGCTAGTAAGAATACGATTCTGTTTTCTTCTATCATTTACAATAGCAGCATTGTCTATATGTTACTCCGTGATATCGCATAAATTGGTTAAAACATGTTCGTCTCATTTTGATAGTTCTATTAAAATTGCCATGAAACTTATCAAGTTTGTATATTTATAAAAATACTAAACAGTCAGAAGTTTGCTGACACCTGTGTCAGTTTCACTTGTCAGCTGGTTATTGGTATCTAATAAGACTCATAAAGATTTATCAAATTTTAAAAAAATATATATTTTTTATTCATGGATTATTAGGTGATGAATATACCCTGATACAATACTAGGATTTTAGACACAGCTTCAGCTCGGCAATTTGTTTGTAAAATTTTATATCAATATTCAGGCCAAATCAACTTTATTTATATTTGATTGTTTGAAATATTTTTTTTATCCACACAATAGGTAAGAGGTCATTTAAAAACAATGTATTCAGATAATGGGGACGCTTTTATAATGACACTATACTGAAGATTTCTGACAATATTGATGATATCATGGTGAATTCTGTGTTGATGACAATCCCCTGTGTTATAGTGAATCCTGTGTTAATGACAATCCCCTGTTATAGTGAATCCTGTGTTGATGACAATCCCCTGTGTTACAGTGAATCCTGTGTTGATGACAATCCCCTGTTATAGTGAATCCTGTGTTGATGACAATCCCCTGTGTTACAGTGAATCCTGTGTTGATGACAATCCCCTGTGTTATAGTGAATCCTGTGATGATGACAATCCCCTGTGTAATAGTGAATCCTGTGTTGATGACAATCCCCTGTGTTATAGTGAATCCTGTGTTGATGAAAATCCCCTGTGTTACAGTGAATCCTGTGTTGATGACAATCCCCTGTGTTACAGTGAATCCTGTGTTGATGACAATCCCCTGTGTTATAGTGAATCCTGTGTTGATGACAATCCCCTGTGTTACAGTGAATCCTGTGTTGATGACAATCCCCTGTGTTATAGTGAATCCTGTGTTGATGACAATCCCCTGTGTTATAGTGAATCCTGTGTTGATGACAATCCCCTGTGTTATAGTAAATCCTGTGTTGATGACAATCCCCTGTGTTATAGTGAATCCTGTGTTGATGACAATCCCCTGTGTTATAATGAATCCTGTGTTAATGACAATCCCCTGTGTTATAGTGAATCCTGTGTTGTTGACAATCCCCTGTTATAGTGAATCCTGTGTTGATGACAATCCCCTGTGTTATAGTGAATCCTGTGTTGATGACAATCCCCTGTGTTATAGTAAATCCTGTGTTGATGACAATCCCCTGTGTTATAGTGAATCCTGTGTTGATGACAATCCCCTGTGTTACAGTGAATCCTGTGTTGATGACAATCCCCTGTGTTATAGTGAAACAGTCTGATAATTAATCCCGTGTTATGGTAAACACCTCTTGCTCAGAATCCCCTCTATATTCCAGACACAAGCTGCTGTTCCTACCCGTGCCAGAATGGAGGCGTGTGTATGACGGCTGGCATGGAGGGCTTTCATTGTGATTGTACTGGTACAGATTTCTACGGCACTTTGTGTGATACCCGTAAGTATGTTTGCAGTCTTGAATAATTCCACTATATCAAACTGAATTGCCTTGACCTGCTATCAAATCTACTTCACCTACAAGTACACACTGTTTTGTAGAACATGACATTTATACTCACTGTTTTGTAGAACCTGACAATAGCACCCACAGTTTTGTAGAACCTGACAATAGCACCCACAGTTTTGTAGAACCTGACAATAGCACCCATAGTTTTGTAGAACCTGAAAATCATATACACTGTTATGTAGAACCTGACAATAGCACCCACAGTTTTGTAGAACCTGAAAATCATATACACTGTTTTATAGAACCTGACAATAGGATCCTCTGTTTTGTAGATTCTGACGATAATATCCACTGTTTTGTAGATTCTGACGATAATATCCACTGTTTTGTAGATTCTGACGATAATATCCACTGTTTTGTAGATTCTGACGATAATATCCACAGTTTTGTAGATTCTGACAATAATATCCACTGTTTTGTAGATTCTGACGATAATATCCACAGTTTTGTAGATTCTGACAACAGTATCCACAGTTTTGTATAGCCTGACAATAGTATCCTCTGTTTTGTAGAATCTGACAATAGTATCCTCTGTTTTGTTGGTTCTGACAATAATATCCACTGTTTTTTCATAACCTGCATTTCCATTTCCGTTTTCTAGCAACATTTATGAAGCGTATCAAGTTGTGGTTGAAGCCTAGCCCTGACACAACCCACTACCTGTTAACTCACTACAACTGGCTCTGGGACAGAGTTAACAGCATTGACTTTCTACGGAATGCTGTCATGAAAAAAGTCTACACAAGTGAGTATTGCGGATGTTTGTCATGCATCTTAGATCTTTTTAAGAGTAATGTCGTTAATTTGAGTAAATAATTATCATACCTATCAGAGAAAAGAGCCTAACTGTTGAAGGGAATCTGCCATTGTTTGATAAAAAATCTGAAAACTGCTCATATTTTGAAAAAAAGAGTTTGTGATCATATGCTTTCAATTGATTATTGAAAAGGTAGGTCATCAATGTTGAACTAGATAAGACATGGGCATTCGGTGAATCTTGTTTTTACAGTGAGGTCAGATATGATTGACAGCCCACCTACCTACACCTCTGATCACACTTACATCACACTTGATGCCAACTACAACCAGACCTACTATATACGTACACTGCCACCTGTTCCAAGCAATTGCCCAACACCTATGGGCGTATGGGGTGAGTAAACTGAGCTACTGTATACCTAACGACTGTCCCACATTGATGGGTGTATCTGGTGATGAATCCCAGCTTCTGTATACCTTACGACTGTCCCACATTGATGGGTGTATCTGGTGATTAATCCCAGCTACTGTATACCTAACGACTGTCCCACATTGATGGGTGTATCTGGTGATTAATCCCAGCTACTGTATACCTAACGACTGTCCCACATTGATGGGTGTATCTGGTGATTAATCCCAGCTTCTGTATACCTTACGACTGTCCCACATTGATGGGTGTATCTGGTGATGAATCCCAGCATCTGTATATCTTACGACTGTCCCACATTGATGGGTGTATCTGGTGATTAATCCCAGCTACTGTATACCTTACCACTGTCCCACATTGATGGGTGTATCTGGTGATTAATCCCAGCTACTATATACCTAACGACTGTACCACATTGATGGGTGTATCTGGTGATGAATCCCAGCTACTGTATACCTAACGACTGTCCCACATTGATGGGTGTATCTGGTGATGAATCCCAGCTACTGTATACCTAACAACTGTCCCACATTGATGGGTGTATCGGGTGAGTAAACAGACTTGCTGTATATACATATACCCTTGATTCCAACACAGATCACAGGTAGAAGTGTTAAGTAGCATATTTTTGCTAGCCACCATATTAACTTAATTGTTTTACTCATTACAGGTAAAAAAGAGATGCCAGATGTGGATAGAATAATTAAGAAATTCTTTGTAAGAAAGGAGCTAATTCCTGAGCCCATGGGAACAAGTGCACTATTCAGTTTCTTTGCACAACATTTCACACATCAGTTTTTCAAGACTGACATTAAAAAAGGCCCACAATACCAGTGGGGTGGACATGGGGTAAGAAACATATATGTAACATCATAGAAAAATTTTAGTTTCATTTTCTACTACGTTTGAATTAAAGTTTAATTGATACCTGCATCATTGGACTCTAGTAAGCTGAGTGGTAGACCAGAGTACACAAATATAATTTGTGATGTATAAAAACTTACCAGTTGTAGAAATTCATATTGTCTCTAACGTAATTACACTATTGAACTTTGAGATAGACTATCCAGATTTCATACTGATGCGATCTGTATGTTGTACTACAGGTCGATGTTTCTCATATTTACGGAAGGGATAAAGACGCAGAGGGAAAACTGCGAAGTTTTAAAGATGGAAAACTGAAAGTACAGGTAAACCCCGTTACTAAAATATCCTACATCCTTTTCCTTGCTGGGATAAAGGGCTACCAAGTTTGTTCAAAGGAATGACCTTAACCCACTTTCAAGGTCACATGGGTCAAATGTATGAAAACCTTCAAACTTCTCATGAACTGAAACACCTAGAGACATGGTATTATTTTGCTGGTATGTTCCTAGGATGAAGCCCGACAAAGTTTAGGAAAATATATTACTTTGACCTTTGTTCAATGTCACAGGTATCCAATTTGTGAAAACCTTGAAACGGCTTCTTCTCATGAACTAAAGGGCCAAGAGGCATGACATTTGGTTGAGTGCTGCAGGCCCATTGGGCCTCTTGTTTTGTTATATCAGTGTTGATGAATCACCATATACTAGGTAAATACACTCCAAAAGTTAAATGAATGAAAAGAAACTATGGTGAGAGGTATATATTACCATTAGTCATTTTTTATGTTTATAGCACAGCAGTATAATACACTAATATGTGAGAGAAAGAATTTCATCTGAGAATGAGATACCAATCTGTCTTATCATGATAATTCCATTAAAATAAGCAACAGGGAAAGGTGTTTGATACTGAAATATTAAATTTTATAACTGAATGATCTTTCTTTACATATTAGATAATAGACGGAGAAGAGTTCCCTCCCTTGGAGAAAGATGCACCAGTGGGTATGATTTACCCTCCTGGTACACCTGACAACCGCAGGTTTGCCATCGGCCAGCAGGTGTTTGGACTTCTCCCTGGACTCTTCATGTATGCCACGATCTGGTTACGGGAGCATAATCGTGTATGTGACATCCTCAAAGCCGAACACCCTGAATGGGATGACGAGAGATTGTATCAGACAGGCAAACTTGTTATATTGGGTAGGTAATAACACACAAACAAAGACACTTGTTAAACTGGGTAGATTATAACATACAGGGAGACACATATTATATTGGGTAGGTAATAACACACAAACAAAGACACATGTTAAACTGGGTAGATTATAACATACAGGGAGACACATATTATATAGGGTAGGTAATAACACACACAGACACTTGTTAAACTGAGTAGATTATAACATACAGGGAGACACATATTATATCGGGTAGGTAATAACACACAAACAAAGACACATGTTAAACTGGGTAGATTATAACATACAGGGAGACACATATTATATAGGGTAGGTAATAACACACACAGACACTTGTTATACTGAGTAAATTATAACATACAGAGAGACACGTATTACACTGGGTTGGTAATAACACACACAGACACTTGTTATACTGAGTAAATTATAACATACAGAGAGACACGTATTACACTGGGTTGGTGATAACACACACAGACACTTGTTATACTGAGTAAATTATAACATACAGACACGTATTACACTGGGTTGGTGATAACACACACAGACACTTGTTATACTGAGTAAATTATAACATACAGGGAGACACATATTATATAGGGTAGGTAATAACACACACAGACACTTGTTATACTGAGTAAATTATAACATACAGAGAGACACGTATTACACTGGGTTGGTGATAACACACACAGACACTTGTTATACTGAGTAAATTATAACATACAGAGAGACACGTATTACACTGGGTTGGTAATAACACACACAGACACTTGTTATACTGAGTAAATTATAACATACAGAGAGACACGTGGTTGGTAATAACACACAAACAAAGACACTTGTTATGCTGGATAAGTTATAAGACAAAGAGACACTTATTTTACTGGGTTGTAGGTCACAATACCTAGAAAGACACTTGTTATATTGTGCATGTTACAATACAGAAACTCTTGTTATAATGCTTAGGTAAAAACACACACACAGAAACTTGTAACACTGGGTATGGTATAAAACGCAGAGACAACAGTTTTACTGGGTTGGTAATAACACATAGAGAGACACTAGTTATTCTGGGTAGGTTTAAACACATAGAAAAATACTTGATTTACTGGGTAGGTTATAACACAGACAAATACGTTTCATTTGATAATCATGATTGTTAAAATTGAGACTCTTAATTTCATTGGATAATCTTGACTATTTAAGGGGAGACAATCAAGATTGTGATAGAGGACTATGTACAGCATTTGAGTCACTACAACTACAAGCTACTGTTCAACCCAGAACTCTTGTTTGGTGAGCCGTTTCAGTACCAGAACAGAATCACAGTAGAATTCAACCATCTGTATCATTGGCATCCGCTGATGCCCAGTGAATTCAACATCAGTGGTACTACCTACAATCTGCGAGAGTTTGTCTATCACCCAGAAATTGTACTCAAACATGGCATGCATGACTTTGTTGATTCTCTCTCAAAACAACGAGCTGGACAAGTAAGCATATTTCGCAGATTCAGCAACATTTGAAATTACTAAATAACTTTCACTGGTTTTGTGAATTTCGTGGTGTTAGTTCATTCACCTTTTCTGAGATCTTTGCTGAACTCAATGAATTTTTTTTTAATATTTTGGAAATGTCTGATGTGGTTTTATACTGATTGGTTGTTTTAGTTTGGTCCCTTTAACCATGGTCCATTGACCATTCCTGTGGTAACAGAGCTCCTTAAACAGGGACGTCAACTCCGGCTACAACCCTATAATCAGTACAGGAAAAAGTTCAACCTGCCTCCTTACAAAACCTTCGAGGACTTGACAGGTATGAACCCATTAACAATTCATATTCAAGTCCACACACACTTCATCCATGTTTTTCATGTTTCCTTGTTTTATTTGCCATTTCACTCATGACCACCTAATTTAAACTCTTTTCAAAACTCTTTTCAAAACATCAAACATTTTGATGAGATATACATCAGAGTTGGTTTTCCACCGTGAAATAAAGTTGCCATTTTCCTAAGTGGCATTTCAATAAATTTTTGATGGTATGTTGCCCTCTTTATTTTGCAGCTTTTTCATATATCACTTTGCTAGACCCACATATCTCTTTTAGATGTGTTTCAGTGTAGCATGTACATGTGGTGAGATGATGTCATTCTTTCTTACTAACATTTTATACACATCATTGAATAATCATTATTACATTTCCATGTTTTTCTCACTCAAATCTTCATCAACTTTCTATAAAATTAAGTTTTTTATTCCACTGAACAAATTATTATTACAAAGTTACTTTTTTGATATGAAAACAGGTACTTCCTCTGTTACAGGGAATAAAGAATTAGCTAAGGCATTGGAGGAGGAATATCAAGACATTAATGCTGTAGAATTCTACGTCGGACTTATCATGGAGAAAAGACGGTATAAATCGGTGTTCGGATCATCTATAGTGGAGATGGGTGGGCCCTACTCAGTAAAGGGACTCATGTCTAATCCTATATGTAGTCCCAAATACTGGAAACCTTCTACTTTTGGAGGGGATGTAGGGTTTGATATCATTAATACAGCAACACTTAAAAAGCTATTCTGTAGTAACATTAAGGGTGACTGTCCAGTAGTATCATTTGAGGTACCAGATTATTTGAGGGGTGACGATTTACATGATGAGCTATGATAGATCTTTTCACAAATATCAATTTTTTTTTATTATACAACAAATATGCTTTTTGAAAATCTCTATGGAGTATGTAATGACAGTATTTCAAATTTAATACTAAAATTTACAATAGAACTACCTAAACATCTGATAATTAGTAACAATATTTCTTAAGCTCTCAAGAATTGAGTGGTCGTCTATGTAATATTGAATAGAAAAATGTCTTTATCTAAGATAAAAAAGGCCATTCATTTTATAACTGATGAGGAGAAGACATTAAAGGCTAGCTATGTAATTTCAATAGAAATAAGTCAAGGATTTGTGTATGACAAACATGGGCCATGTAATGATTAACAAAGAACTGTCTTTCTCAAGGATCACTATACATAAATGCCATACATTTCAAAGTTAATGGGGAGGAAAAGTTACCAGGGAATTATTATAGAATAAAAGGCCAGCCATGTAGTATGTAATAACTTTATCACTGATTGTTAAAGAATAAAAGGCCAGCTTTGTAATATTAAATATGACTTTATCAAGAATTATTATACAGCAAAAGTCAGCTGTTGTGAAATAACATCAGACTATGATTGACTGCAATGTATTTTAATTTCTGTATAAAATATTTGCTGTGTCTTTTTTGTATTGAATTTCTTGTATACCTGGTAATTATTTTCACAGATAATCATCAAAATGAGGTTGTGATATCTTACATAATTATGTTTTGCTTTCAATCATTGCCAGTCCCAAACAGTTCCATCTTTCCAGGGATTTCTTTATAAAATGTCATTATGAATCATGATCATTTGAATTAGATTTGCAGATGTACACTTCTTCCTATATCTGTGTTTTATTGTGTGAAAAAATATTGTAAATTATTCACATAACCGTAGATTTAACTTTCCTATACTCAAATATACCACATTTTTCCGTCGTGGATCAGATTTCGTCATTATAGGATCTCACCTGAGTTTCGCTTTCATGCTAGATACATGAAACAAACCCTAAGAATTTTTTTATTTTTCCGAGCCTCTTGTGAGGTCAATGAAAAATTTGTAATATATTTCTTTAATGGAAACAAATATAAGATTCTGTTTATCACATAACTTGGGTAATGTTGTAAGCATTTAAGAATATATTTTTTAACTCTATAAAAAATCTGTACTGATGATATTCTCACACCATATCTCATATTTTGGTGATGTCACCATGAAATTATGATGTCACAATGAAGTTATGATGTCACAATGAAGTTATGATGTCACAATGGAAAGAAAATTGCAACCTTCAGACAACCACAGCTTCACTAGATCGGTTGCATCATAAATGATCATAAGACAATTTTGGATGGATGGAACTTATTACACTGATAAAAAGGGCAATTATGTGATAATTTTTTGTTGATGTAATTGTAAATCATCAATATCATTTCAGCTAGTGTTGTGTTTTTTTGTACAATTATGGTAATGATCTGGTAAATGTAGTAGCAAAGTAATGCATGTCAATTCATTTTGTATCTTGTTTAGCTGTCTCAACCATACTGAGGTTTTTCTGTTGAATTTGCCTGTTGTTTTCTACAGAATTTGACTTTCAACAGTTAATTATAAGTGAATAAATGCTCTTAGTGATTCTCGGAAATTTATCTTTTATAATATCATTTTTTCTTTATAAATCTAAACTGAAATTTAAGTCATTTGAACAAATGTTAAGTACATTAACTGTGCTGTGGAGAATCAGGATATAGTCCCAACAAATCAACAATAAACTCTAAATTTTTGTGATAATTTTCAGGGATGGTGTATAAAATTGCAAAAATGAACACCATTACAGTTGAATCAATGGTGATAGTTACAATCCATTTGAAAAGTTTTGTGAAACTTGATTTCCTTCAAATGAAGGTAAAACAGAAAATCTTAACTGTTGAAATAACAAACTTTTCAGAAATAAATTTCACTAAAATCAGTATTATGAGCTCAGATTGATGTAAACTGGACATCACTGAAAATGTCACAAATTAGCTCGGGAAAAAAATCAGAAAAACTGTTAATCACAAGGAATTAAGATCTGATGTTATGTGTTCATAATGAGAAGTTTCTTATTTAATTATGTTTAATCTGAAATAATCACATATATACCTATATGAGGTTGTGAAGTTAATGTGCCGTTTCCACATTACACCTGTAAAAGGTTGAGAAGTCATGTTGTTTCTGTACTGATTGCACAAGGTTTACAAATTACACCTGTAAAAGGTTGAGAAGTCATGTTGTTTCTGTACTGATTGCACAAGGTTTTACAAATTACACCTGTATAAGGTTGTGAAGTCATGCTGTTTTCTGTACTGATTGCATTAGGTTTACATATTACACCTACCTGTGATATACTGTTTAAATACTGTGTGGCTGTGATGCAGTTAATATGGTACCTTATCATTTGAAGCTCATTGAAACAGAAAATAAAGTAATATAAAAAAAATTCATGACATAACTAGAATCCAACAGTTGTACAAGAACGTTTTGTCAGTACCAATTTGTCATATGAGGTTTTTATAGAAACTGTAGAGATATAGTGCCACTAAAATCATGATGAATGAGTTCTCATACTAATATATTTGTATACTTATATCAAACATGGTAGTGCTGACTTTGAAGGTCAGTTCTTAACGCTTTTGTTAACTGTGAAAAGTTGAGATTTTATGTTCTAAAGTTGTAGAATAAATGTATATTTGACATGAATATGAAATATATTTGGAAGTCAACTTACTAATTTGTGATGCATGTCTTTGCTAGGATTTTTGGGTATGATACAGAGTTATGTCCCTTTCTATTTAACAGCTTCGTGTTGTATGTGCCAACCTGATACATTATTTGATTTTTTTTTTCAATTCTCAGATATGCTCATCATAAAGTAACTTTTGTATCAGATAACAATACCATTCCTATCAGTATTTATATATATTCTATCTAGCATACATTCTTGTTGGAGAAATAATATTTTTTCTTGTTTCCCCATTCCTGTCTGTCATATACAATCTATATATTTATATGTATATCATGAAAGTTGACATTCTGGAGAGAAATGGTGACAGAAATGAGATTACTAGTGGTTATAATTCAGGCTTCATATCCTAACTTCATTAATGTTGGAAGAGTCACCTCTCAACTAGAAGAATAAAGAGGTGGAAGGTAAGGGGGGGGGGGGGAGGTTCTAAGGGTAAACATTGAATATTGAGTAAACAATGATGTGTGGCTTTATTTTTCAATTTTTGTATTTACTGTGTAGAATTTAAGAGAGAATCTTGCTGTATCCAATGGTTGTTAATGTTGATGATGCTGAGTTGAAGTACATGTACAAATATTTTTAGACAGTATGATTCATGTAATACAGATTTCATGTGAAACTGATAACACTTTATATATACTATAATGTATCATGTTTGAATGTTGAGTATGAAATAAATCATTATTCACAAAGTTTCTTTCATGTTTTATCAATTTTACATTTTCTACACTTGCACCTTCTGTACTTTGAAAACCTGGATCAGTTTGTGTGAAGAAGCTATATAAGTGTTTGATATATCACAAGGTGATGAAGGGTGATTGCGATGATAAATCACACCTGTTTATAACAACTTTATTGACCAATTTTTCCTGTTTCCCTCGGAGGTTTGTTATAAGACAGATTTGACTGTATTTACATGGAAAAACCAACCAAAGTTTGGCATGATTGATTCATTAATCGTCTTCATGTGTATCCATCATAACTTACAATCAACACAAAGAGGCTCAGAAGATATGCATCAGTGGATATTTATATAATGTCAAAAATATAGGTCTTCATCTGTATAATTTACATCCATATTTAGATACAAATATTTACACAATTCCTTAATATGCAGGTAACAACAGAAGATTTTTGATACATTAAATTTTTTTCAGAAGATAGAAAACCAAAATTAAGCGGGGACTTGCATAGATATAATCCGACCCAAGAATAAAAATGTTCGAGTGACCTTTGACCTTTAAATTTGACCAATGACCACCAAAATCTAATCAAGTGTAGACCTTGGTTGTATGATGTGAATATGAACCAAATCTTTTCAGGGGTCCATAAAATAACTTGTATTACAAGGTTATGTGGGACAGAACCACAAATTCACTGATGGACACCTATAGTGATTATCATACCCACTTACATAAGTTATGGGTATGATTAATCTTCTTTGATTTGGACTGATCTAGCTCTTGAAAACCCATAAAATAAAAAATAAAAAACGAAATTTCAAACAAAATTTATTACATATTTCATCAATTCTTATAAAAACAATATATCTTACTCAAGAAAGAGTATTATTTTCATTGCCTTCGAATCTGCAAGGTGCTGGACATAAGTTATTCAATGGCAGATGCAGTTTCCTTCTGATAGACTTGTGATTTCACAACAGTGACACAGACTTATGTGTTAACAACATGACCATGGTCTTCCTGTGTGCTATAAATGTTGTAATGAGATTATGTCCCGGATAATAATGAAAGTGCTAATGTCCATCCATCCCTATACTTTGAGGCAAGTTGCATTGCTTCCCCAACTCCACAACCCCCAGGCCTATAGCAAGACAAATATATAGAAACTGTCTTCTGCTCTATGATTTATAAATAATCAAAATATTTAATAAGATGTGTATAAAATTGTACACATGTACATAATTCCTTCATAATGGCTCACTCAGAATCATCACCATGGTCTGTCATCCAATGGCCGACAGGCAGCCATCTTGGATTTTTTCAATGAAGTTTGTTATCACTATTTCTTAAAAGTAAGGAATGGATCTTTCTCAAATTTCATATGTAGGTTCCCTTGGTCTCTATTTGTGCCCATGTAATTTTGGAACTGATCAGAAAAACAAATTTGCCAAATGGCGGCCATCTTGGATTTTGACATTGAAAGTTCCTTATCACTATTTCTTGAGAGGTCCTGTATGGATATCTCACAAAATTCATACATAAGTTCCCTTTGATCTCTCATTGTGCTCGTTTGCTTTAGGGACTGATCAGAGGAAACAAAATGGCTTCCAGGTGGCCATTTTGGATTTGGAAGGTAAAGATTATCATTTACTTCTGCATTGGAATGTTCAAATGTGTTATCATTAAGAGCAAAAACAGAGAATAGAAGAGAAAAGAAGGAAAAAGATCAAACTTTCAAAAATCCCTCTGTGATCTTGTTTCAATAAATTTTTATTCTATCTAATCCATTGAAAAATATGAATAATTATTATTATGAGACATTCTTAACACATAAAAGATCATTAGGGCCATCAACCGGTGAAACACACAGCAATCCAAAAACGAAATAACATCAAACGAACTAAAAGGTAAAAGACAAATGCTAAAAATGTTCAATGGTTATATTATCACAAAAGATAAATTAGTAAGTCATAGTCAATAATATAGACCAACATCTTTCAGAAATCCAGAATTTTATTAAACTCTACAGTGTCAAAAAGGGTCTTTATATTTGTGATGTTACGATAAAAAATTTCTCAAGTAGACAGAAGGTCAATGCAGTCCAATAAAAATTGTTTAACGGTGAATGGCTCATCACATCCTATGCACCGAGGGTTATCATCGCCTTTCAACATATATGAATGTGCAAGGTATGTATGGCCCATCCAAAGACAGGCAAGGACAACTTAGTCTTGGTGGTAGTCGAAAAATATGAATAGATCTACCTAATCATTAAAGAATGTATCATCTTTGCGGTATTTACTTCAAAATACCTCGTTTAAAATTTCAAGACACTGTATATATTTATATTGTGATAGAATGAATTAAAACAAGAATGTTAATACAGTCTGACTTGTATAGAATTCATTTATTGCAAGTCATTATATATAAATAACCCCAACTCATGATACATCCATTAAAACAAGCTAGGTAAGATGATACATCATTGTACCAGCTAATTTCCTAAAAAAAATATTAAGAGATTGAATTTAGGTAAAGATGTAAGATTTACGCCATTGTGTGAAGGAAATTGATAAATGATTTGGAAATTTTCCCAGTAACAATGGAACAATTTCTGTAAACTACCATACTATCAAATGTATGTGACAGTACACATGTATACAAAACCAAACTCTTTAACATGTTTTAGTAGCTGCATAATACTCCAAGCAATTACTAGCAACTGAATTTAAGTAAACATTTGGCTAAGTCCTGATGATAGTTGCCTATTTTCAGCCCGTTGGCCTTTCTGAGCTTTCATGAGGAGGTTTTTTATAAACTTGTTCTCAGGATTAAACTGCAGGCCCTTATTGAAGTCTTGTGCAGCTGAAGAGTAGTCTCCCTTTGAGAGGTATGCCTGACCTCTCCGCACGTGACCTTTTACATTTTTGTTATCCAGAATTAAAGCCTTTGTACAATTTGTGATGACATGGTCAGCAGCTGAGGGGAACTTGAGTTGGCATGCTGCCAAGTTGAGATGACACTCATAAAGTAACTGATTAACATTTTCCGGTATCTCAATGCTTTGGTCAATCAATAGGAGATACTTGGTGGCTTTACTAAATTGTCTGAAGGCACATTTTATCTTTTCTTGTTTGAATAGTTCTACTCCAGTTTGTTTGTGTTGTTTTGCTTTCTCGTACTTCTGGTTGTTGGTCAGAAGTGGCCAACCCGAAGGGTTCTCAAAGTGCTGCAGGTTTATAGTAACCTCACAAGGCCTGTCAAAGCCCACGAATGCCTCTTTTCTTCGAAACATTGCAACTTCTTCTTTTCTCATCGTGCTTATACATTGGTCAATAAAAAAATCATGTTCATCATCAAGCTCTGCAATAGTCAAAACTTGCAAATCTTCACAATCATATTTTCTACTGGACACTGGAACATCATTAGCATTTATGATAACTGTGCATGTTGCTTGGTCCAAAGGTCTGGCTAGGCCCAAACCTTCAACAAGTATTGTTTTTGTAAAAAGGCCTGATTTGTCCAGCTGTTGTTTAGTAACTTCAAGGCATTGTGTTGTTTCCATCTCCACACAGAGTCAAATCAGGGACGTATTAATAGTCCTCACATCAGTCTGGGGAAAAAGAAAATTCACATTATGCACAAGTATGTGGTTTTAAAATGAAGGCAAAACCCGCTGAGTAAAGTCCTATGATAACAAATCCAGTTATGTCAGGTTTTCATTCCCATTGATAAGACAATTTGATACCAAAATATTTTGACGTGACCCCATTTCTTTTCATTAGACATGTATATAGTAAGAAGTGTGTCATTGAAAAGTTACTGATTCATGTCAGAAAAATTCGAAACTTTATTTCAAAGACACAATGTAAAGTTTTGGAAAAAAACGTAACTTCATAAACTTAATCGCCTATATATATATAGATTGAGATAATAAGTCTAACCACCGGCCATCGGCTGCTTTCGTTTAGGCGGACGAACCGATAAGTTGATGTTCTTTAAGTCTCATTTGACGCACACACTGAAAAACACATTCTTAACACATGTGTCCAAAGCTGTTGGTTGTCATCAAGCAAAATTAAGAATAGGAGGTCAGTCCTTAACAAGGCAGGCCCATTTTTACCGATTAAGCTTGGTCCAAATGTTGGCATTTTATGTAACATAACTACAGCATGGGCTTAAATTGTTTGTTGAAAAAATAGAAGATACCTGCAAGAGTGTTACGACATTTGGACCAACTGAACGTCAGAAAACAGCTATGGTTGCTAATTACATGCATGTCAGTTGTTTTTTTCATCTTATTTTTTGTCTGGCTCGTTGTGATACAAATAATTGAGCTATGGTAAAATGTGGACAAGTGCCGGCAATATCTGGATGCCCCGAGCTTCCAAAATAGTGCATAAGGCCTACATTGATTCATTATTGTAAAGTTATATTGATAGTAGCAAAATAAATATGTATAATACAATAACATTAAATTCGTTGCTAAGTCACAAATATTCTCAATTAATTTTTATTGACTATGCCTTTTTAAATTGACCGTCGAGAACAAGATCGAATCCGTAACTTTACACGATATTATCCGTAAATTACTCCTTACCTAAACGTAAGAGGAACCGGAAATGAAAGTATGTTGACAGACCGCCGACCGGACACTCGTTCTGCTGTTTTGCCATGTTGGCACAGACCTGTTTACTTTTATGGGACTTGTAGTATTTGATGTGAAGTTCTTAGGTAAGGAATGTCTTTCGGTTACCGCATTTATAGAATATAGAACCGAATGTTTCTAATGATAGTAGTATGTGAGTGCGTTTGATGTTTCCTGTTGTCTTACTCCCCCCTCCTTCCATTAACGATATTTGCATATGTCAAAATACCTTGTTCAGCCAGATTTAACCATTTGTTAAAACATTAAATTAAAATGAAATTAAATGGGTTGGCCTACAATAGACAGCACAATATAAAAGAAATCCTATCGGTAGTGACCTTATGTAATGCAATATGTAGGCACCAACACCTAACATATCGTCTCGACATCGGTTCCGGACTGTTATGTATTTCGGAACGGTCATTTGGTCGAACCGTATCACATAAACCATTTCACTGCTTGACCTCGCTCCCGGATAATTTTGGATGCTTTAACATGTTACGCTTTCAGAAAGAATGGAAATTTGTGGTTAAAACCATTCACGATAAAATATTATGAGTACATGTTTTTTTTTGGCAAATTTCCTTCTTTTTTCTTAATTCACAGTTTTACATGTCAAATATTCTCCCACATGTGATGAAAAAAACCACCAATACATTGTTAGATGCCAATGTTTTGTTGTCGTCTGTCAAGTGCATAAAACTCCACCATGAATAATAGGCCATGCCTTCCTGCAACTTTTTGGATTTGGAAATCCAAACATGCATGTCTTATATTGGAAAAAGGATGATTACTGAATTATCATTTTGATGAATAATTTATGACTTTTATTAACTAGCATGTTGGAGGCCGAAAGAGAAAAATTAACTTTATGTAAAGATGTACTCCTCTGATGTTTTGACCAAAAGTAAGACATAATTCAGTTTAACATGACTTCCAGCATAAAATCTAGGTCTTTTCCTTTATACACTTTGCCATCAATAGTTGTACTTACAAGTTGGAAACAGGTGATTTATATCATGGTTTGATGAAATTTCGCTTGAGGACAACATTTTTTGATGGCGTGATTTAGTTAATAGCATCAATAATTTCCATGTTTTCTGGTTGCTAAGATACCTACTTCTTTTGAGCAGAATTCTTTAAGTCATTGGTAGATTTCAACTAAGTTGTGCATGAATTATTGCCACAAATCAGATTTCAAATTTGGGAATTTTGACTAGCAGACCACTTTCCCAGACCTAGAAATAAATGTTTTAGCAGTTTCTTGATCTTGGTAAAAGTGGCTATTTGGGTGAAATTTGCAAAAAATAAAGCACAGGGACCCCTTCTTTTTTAATAATGAAAAGTTTAATACTAAAAGATGGTTGAATAAAAAGTTTGTCATTTTGGAATATTTTTCATTTTTTGGTTGCTATACAGATTTAAACTGAAAACTTACGATTCTCATATTATTTTTTTCTTAACATCCAAGTATCATACCCTTATTTGTAATGAAAGGCTTAAATCTATTTCAAGAAAAGTTGTTACCAACATAACAGAGAATATCAGTTATTTAGGGAGAGAATGAGGATAATATGTGGAAATGAATTATTTCATGTTACACATATTCTGACACCTGTACCACAAAAAGAAGTGCAGCAACATAAAAACTTTTTGCTTTGAATTTACTTTTTTAAATCAAAACATTTCAAAAATTCATTATCAGAAAAAAAAGTTTGATACTGGATTTTTTTTTTTACTTCTCAGCAGATATACATCCTTAAACGGTTGGTGGTATAAAAAAGAAGTTTACTATGAAATATGGCAAATTTGAGAAATAGCCTGGGACCAAACAATCAAAACTTGAATCTAATGCTTAGGAAAAGATGCACATCTAAACATATATATCCAACATTATTTTGGTTTGATTTTTTTCCCTATTAAAACATCATTCTCGTTCAAATGATGTTTTTATATAATGTATGTGTACTTTTGGGTCACTGTGAGTTAACTCAAGCATCTCTGTGATTTAGTGATATCATCAGAATCGGAAGTGCAGTTACATGACAGAAGCACATGTCAGTCTTTTCAGGCGAGCGAATTTGAAATCGTATCTGGATTTTTAAAGAAAAATACTAGTGTTTCACCAGACAGTTTTTTTTAAATAAATTTTATAATATGAACACATTTCAATTCATTTATGTATCTGATTAGTGGCAATTCATCAACATAGCATAGCTAACGTGAAATTATTCTTAAGGGGTCCAAAACTAATGCGCCAAGGATAATAATCCTTTTTGGTGTTTCTCAATAACTCTTTAGGATATAAGTCTGTGTGCCATAGATCTATATATGGTACATAATAGAGATGTTATGTTGTATAGTAAAGAAATGGTAAACAATGTCTGAAATCAGGACCAGATGTATTTAATACAGGTAAATGTATTCTTCTATAGTTCAATGGTTTACACACTCTAGATGCATGTCAGTCCAGTTTACTTACATTTAGTGGAAATAAGATGTTCTTGAAAGAAAAGCAATTCTGCTACATTTTTTATGCTAAGAGCATTTTCAATGCTCTTCAGCATGTTGTTATCATTGATGATTATTTTTTCTTACAATCTGGTTCTATCAAATGAGTCTTTTTGAATTTTAAATATTATTAAGCTTTATGTTTTAAATTCACTTATATTGATGTGTTTTACAGCAGCTGTACACTGATATAGAGTCCTACAAATACTCCCTACACTACACATTACAGTTGAAGCAGTTACATACATAAGTTATTCATCATGCAGTCGCAACACAATCAAATACAACCCATGTACAGGTAAACATCAATATATCTGACATTCATTTTGTCCTATCAGACACCGAATCTCAATAAAACATTGACATATCAGAAATCCACTTCACTGTAAAACATTGACATATCAGAGATCAACTTCACTATAAAATATTGACATATCAGAGATCCACTTCACTATAAAACATGGACATATCAGAAATCCACTTCACTGTAAAACATTGACATATCAGAGATCCACTTCACTATAAAACATTGACATATCAGAGATCCACTTCACTATAAAATATTGACATATCAGAGATCCACTTCACTATAAAACATTGGCATATCAGAGATCCACTTCATTATAAAACATTGACATATCAGAGATCCACTTCATTATAAAACATTGACATATCAGAGATCCACTTCACTATAAAACATTGACATATCAGAGATCCACTTCACTATAAAACATTGACATATCAGAGATCCACTTCACTATAAACATTGACATATCAGAGATCCACTTCACTATAAAATATTGACATATCAGAGATCCACTTCATTATAAAACATTGACATATCAGAGATCCACTTCACTTAAACATTGACATATCAGAGATCCACTTCATTATAAAACATTGACATATCAGAGATCCACTTCAATATAAAACATTGACATATCAGAGATCCACTTCACTATAAAACATTGACATATCAGAGATCCACTTCACTATAAACATTGGCATATCAGAGATCCACTTCACTATAAAACATTGACATATCAGAGATCCACTTAACACCTCTTTTACCTTCTTTATACACTATAAAAAAAAATCACTGAGGTTGTATAGAAATAAACAGATGTCTACATTTACATGTAGAAATCATGATCATACAGTGAGCATATTTTTCATGTGTACATTTAATACATCTCCATGTAGAATGTTCAAGAATTTAAAGAAGAAGCTTGAACAACAAGGAGAAAATGTGAGTGACAGTGAGAGGAATCTACCTGGATCACCTATCCCTGTACACCAGACACCAAAAAAACCTGGTAAGTATTACTGTAAAAGTAGATTTTTAGTTACCCTATTCAAATCACCTTGCATCTGTGGTCTATCTGTCTGCTGTACATCTGTCCATTGTCCGTCAACAATTTGTGTTATCGCTATTTCTTGAGAAGTGCTGGATGGATCTTTCTCAAACTGCATATGGCGATTCCCCTTGGTACCTAGTTGTGCAAGTTTGATTTTGGGACTGATCAGAAAAACAAAATGGCTGACAGAGGGCCATCTTGGATTTTGCCTTTGCAAGTTTGTTATCACTATTTCTTGAAAACTACTGTATAGATCTTTCTGAAAATTCATGCATATGTTCCTTTTGGTCTTAACTGTGCCCATTTTGGGACTGATCAAAAAAAAATTTGACAAACAGATGACCATCTTGGATTTTGACTTTGAAAGTTTGTTATTGTTATTTCTTGAGAAGCACTTGATGAATCTCTCTCAAATTTCATATGTAGGTTCCCGTTTGTGTCTAGTTGTGCCTGTGTAATTTTGGACATGATTTAAAAAAAACAGATAATTGGCCATCTTGGATTTTGACTTTGAAAGTTTGTTATTGCTGTTTCTTGAGAAGTACTGGATGGATGGATCTTTCATAATTTCAAATGTAAGTTCCCTTTTGTCCCTATTTGTGTAAGCTTGATTTTGTGTTTGATCAGGAAAAAACATTGGCTAACAGACAGCCAACTTGGATTTGGCATGTAAAAATTGTCATTGCTGTTTCTGCAAATGAATGTTGAAGATTGTTGTCTCTATTTTTTTGTAAGAAGTACTGAATGGATCTCTCTTAGATTTCATATATCTGTTCCCTGTGTGGTCTCTACTTGTGTCCAATTTGAATTTGGAACTGATCAGAAAAATGGCTTTCAGGCAACCATTTTGGATTTAGACAGTAAAATTATCATCAATATTTCTGCAATGGAATGGTCAAATTTCTTATCGTTAAGAGCAAAAACAGGGGAGAGGAGAGAAAAGAAGGGAAAAGATCCAACTTTCAAAGAGGAAAGTAAAGATCAAATAATGGTAGGTGCCAAGATCCCTCTGGGATGTAGATGTGCCGAAATATGAAGTTTTACAAAATATCTTCTGAGGTGTGATTCATGAATTCTCAGAATGTGTGATATTGGAAAAACCTATCCACTTTCTCTAAAGTCCTGAAATTTACCAATAACATCAATGATCAAGTGTTATTTGTTGGTTGAAAGGGAATATGTGAATGTGTGAGCTATGTGTATGTCTGTCTGTCTGTCCGTCCAGTTGTGAATCATTCCAAATCTGTGTCATATCTGTAGAATCTCTCCACAGATTTGCTTCATACATTGTACTTGTGCTCTAGTATGATAACTCGAAGTTTTACTCCTAGTAAGATTCTGATATGTGTAGGAGTAGAGGACCTCATGTGTTACCAAGATGTTTTAGTTTAATCATGATTGTCAACCCATCTTTTAATCTATTCTCTGTAGACAAAGTTATGGCTGTTTTCAACTTCTTAATATTCATCATAATTATGCGACTTCTGTTTGTTTCTTGATATTTTCCGATTTTCCAAATCTATAAAATGTTCAGTACATGTACGCTTATCCACAATTTCTACAATTATCTGTGATAAATGCTGTTAAAGGATAAAGCATCCAGCATTTATAGAAAGGTGCCTGACCATTTGTTCATTGCTTTGTGTTATGTAGGTGCCAAGGTTTCAAGTCCTTTAAGTCAGGATGGTCATGGTTACGAGTCAGATTCTGGAGCTGCAAACTCTGGTGAACAGGTCAGTGTTGGGCAAACTACAAATTCAAGGTCGAGAGTTGAGGTGAGAGGTTATAAAGAACTGGTCAATGTAAATGTAAATTTAAATATATAATTCATTTATTTCACAACAGTTGAGAAACAAGATTTAATTATTTGATTACCAGGTACACTCTCGTTGGACCAGAAGGAAGCACCTGTATATAGATCTGATTAAATAGTACTTAAATTAGTATTAATTTTAATGTTTCATTTTATATTAATGTCAGAAAAGATTAATTATGATAAATAAGAAACTCATTAATTTTTGCTTTGTGGACAGCTCACAGGGACACAGGAGGAATTGGCAGTTCTCCTGTCGAAGCGAACAGAACAGTGTAAAAAGTATGAGGTAACAATTAAAGGTAGGACATTGTTTTATCTTGACCTGAAATCAATGATGAAAAAGTGAATTAAAGTGAATTTGTGTTGAGTATTTATTATAATGAAAATCTTTCACTGTATTTGATGGGTTGGTATCTGAGTAAAGGACCATACTGATTTACTTTTGACTTTGATGACAGATCAACAAAGCTTTTGATGTGTTTACAGAATATGCTGCAATTATCAAAGAGAAGAACAAGAATACTGAAAAACTGGAGCAGACATTGAAGAAGCAAGAAGATGGTGAGTCTTTACAGCTAACGAAGCCCTTCATTCTCAGAATAAACATCGACTCTACCTGATCATGAATTGAAGTATATTAAAAAACAAGTTCCTTTGAATTCTGGTGCTTGATGTCAGTCTAATTGTAATTACCAACATATTTACATCCCATTGCCTGTGATAAATTTATGCATGTACTTGTTAAGAAAGTCTTTAATTTTTCTGTATATAGATTAAATACCAACTCTGTGCTTATGTTATGATTTTGTGTTTAAGAGTACCAGAAGATTGCTCACAATATCTCGGTATGTAAGCATGATAATGTATTGATTACATGGCACCACTTCTCATTTGTTTTAAGATTCTGCTAAAAAAATTCAAGAACTCCAGGAGCAGTTCCAATGTAAGCAGGCCAAAATGTCTGAAGGATTTACACTGGCCTTGCAGAAGAAGGATGAGGTCAGTAGCATTATCAAACTTTGTTTGATTTACAACATTTGCAAAACAAGTTATTCCAACTTCCATATGAATCACTCTTGCTGGCCCAGATGAAGGGGTCTTACTCAGTTAGGGTAGGCAATTATTTCTTCAATTCATGAATTTGATTTGACCTCATAGGATTTGGCGGCTGGGCCCCAAAATGGAAAATAAGACAATATTTGGGTTCAAAACGCTACTCCTTATTTGGTTGAAATCCACTCAAGCATTAAAAAGGTCTGAAACATCATTAAGAGTGGAGAAGTATTTCTTAAATTCAGAAAGTTGCACATTAAGCCTGCAGCTTCTCAACAACCAAAAGGCCAAGGATGATGATATTAGGCCTATAACATGTTTGGATGAAGGGCTACTAACTTTGTAAATGTGAATGACTTTCAAAATCACGGGTATCAAATGTGTTAAAATGTTTAAATGACTTCTTCTGAATAACCAAAAGGACCAGGGATGCTGATATTGGACAACTTTCAAGGTGACGGGGGTCAAATGTGTTGAAATGCTTAAGCACCTTTGTTTCAGTAAAAGAAAGTCCAAGGGTCTTGATGTTGGGCCTGTAGCTTGCTTTTTCAACAAGAAATATATATGGAGTAATGGCAATTGTGTAGAGCATGTATAAAGAATGTGATTTCAAGTTTGCAGAAAATGTCTTGATGAACCAACAATGTCTCTTGTAAAAGCTGTATGGTGGTTTAGCAATTTATTTCAGGCCTATTTGTCCTCTTTCATATATAGGTCTTTATGGTCAGATGACCATTAAGGCCTATGGGCCTCGAGGTTTCTTTCTCCATAACGGAGTGTACTATACTCAGTGATTATTTCCATTTTTTTATTGTTAGACTTTCTGTTTACAGGAGAAAGACAAGGTACTCCAGCGATTAGAACAAGTTGGAGATTACAAGAAGAAATTTTTCAAACAAGAAGAGGAGAATGACGAGTTCCAGGGGCTCGCTACACAAGAACTTGCCAAGGTCAAACATATGGTCAGTACATAAAGACATTAGGGTCAAAGAATTAGGAAATTTAAGATGTGTTGAAGTTTAAGTCAGCATGCTTCACTGTTTTTGTCTTGGACTTTTCATACTTCGGATATCTTTATTAAGGCCCTACACAAAAGTTTGGGTGCCCTATGATAATCATGTCCGTACGTCTGTCAGTCAGTACTTTTGTTTCTGTGTGATAACTTTGGATGCCTTTGGAAGATCAAGCTCAAACTTCATACAGTGCTTCTTTATGAAAAGATCTTGCGTGGGAGTGCTTTTCAGCATCAAAGGTCAAGGTCACTTTTACTATAAAAAGAAAATCAGTTTCCGTGTGAAAACTAAGAATTCACTTGGCTAATCTAACCCAAATTTCATACAGTACTATCTTACTAAAGGTGTTTGCTTAGGATTGCTTTACAGTTTTGAAATGTCAAAGGTCAACTATGAATAGAAAAATCAGTTTCCCTGTGATAACATAAATTTGCTTTAGTCATTCAAGCTCAAACCTCATACAATGCTTCCGGATTGCTTTTCAGCTTCGAAGGTCAATGACATGAATGCACTTTCTGTTCTGATCAATTTTTGTCATTTTTCTTATCTAAACTCTTGTTATGAATTAAACACTTTTCATTTCTTGATGAATAACATAATATAGAATGCCTTCTCATGGATTAGAAACTCTGTTTATTTTTACACTGTGAGGAATATATCTGTTATTTACACTTATCAATTGAATGATATCCAAACATCATACTTTTTCTTCTGGGTCTGGGGTGTGTGTGTCTAAGGGGGAGGTGGGGGGGGGGGGGAGTTTTTATTTCCAGCCACAATATCAGGACCCTTGCTGACCTGTTCAAGTTTATATTCGTTACTCTTCGTCCATCATCGTGTGTAAACTTTTTCTTTAAAACGCTACTCCTCTTTCATACCCGGATGGATTTCATGCAGATTTGGTCTGATGCATCATTGATAGTGGGAATCATTTCACAAAGTCAAAAAAATTGATTGACCCTTTGTCAATAGGAATGACCTTTATCTACTTGAAAGGTGACAGGGATCAAATGTGTTAAAATGCTTTAGCAACAACTTTTCAATAACCTAAAGGCCAAGGGTCAGGGCCTGTTGCTTGCTTTTTTTAACAAGCAATATGTCTGAAGTAAATGATATTGTTTAGTGCATGTATAAAGAATATGATTTCAAGTTTGCAGAAAATGTCTTGATGAACCAACAAAGTCTTCTGTGTAAGCTGTAGAGTAGTTGAGTTATTAATTTTAGGCCTATTTGGCCTCTTTCATATATAGGTCTTTATGGTCAGATGACAGTTAAGGCCCATAGGAATCTTGTTTATTTTATTTCATTATTTTATAGCTCCTCAACACCCAAGAAGAAGTGACACAGTTAAAATCAGAATTAGAACAAAAATCTACAAGATTAGTCCAAGCAGAACAGGAAAAAGTGAAATACGAAAAGGAATTACCCTCACTCCAAAGTCAGTTTGACAACCAGAAGCTTCAATGGTATGTATATATAACTGAGTCTTCTTTACTGATTCCTAGGTGATACTAAAATACCAAAATCTCTAAATGACTTCTTTTCAATAACCAAAAGGACCAGGGTGCTGATATTAAGGTCACAGGGGTCATATATGTTGAAATGATTAAGCAACTTCCTCTCAATAACCGAAAGGCCCAGAATGATGATATAAGGCCTGTAGCATGCTAGGATGATGGGCTACCAACTTTGTTAATATGAATTTCATTGACTTTCAAGGTCGCATATATCAAATGTGTTAAAATGTTTAAATGGCATCTTCTCAATAACTAAAAGGACCAGGGGTGCTGATATTGGACAAACATTCAAGATCACAGGGGTCAAATGTGTTGAAATGCTTAAGCAACTTCTCAGTAACGGAAAGCCCAAATGTCTTGATATTTGGCCTGTAGCATGCTTTTTCAGCAAGCAATATGTCCAGAGTAATGGCATTTGTGTAGTGCATGTATAAAGAATATGATTTCAAGTTTGCAGAAATGTATTGATGAACCAACAATGTCTCTTGTAAAAGCTGTATGGTGGTTTAGCAATTTATTTCAGGCCTATTTGTCCTCTTTCATATATAAGTTGTAAAGTAGTTGATCAATTTATTTTAGGCTTATTTTGCCTTTCATATAAAGGTCTTTATAGTCAGATGACCGTTAAGGCCCATGGGCCTCTTGTTTTTAAGTATGACTGTTTACGCTCTGCATAATTGTAAATAATGTTTTTTTCTCTTAGTTAATATACAGATCTTCTCAAATTTACTTTGTTTACAAAATTTTCCACTTATATCCTTAGACTTCGTATTGTGACTAGCAAACAAACTCCATATCACGAAAATGCAATGAAAACTCCAAAAGAAATTTATTTCTGAACACCTTCTGTTGAAATCCACAACATGGTAACAAACTACTTTCAGCAAATTCCTACTGGGAATGCCTTCACAACATGACTCCGTGTAAAGACTATGAAAATTTAAATTCCTTTAAATCAAAAAGCTTTATAATCTAATGAACAAAGAATATCACCCATGGTCACACCAAGAAACTGTATACTGCTACCTATGATTGAGGTAGAGGCAAATGATTTGATACCATATTGAACCGTACATCAGTACTGTACTGACTTCTTATATTGTTTACAGTTATCAATTAGAAGAAGAGACCAAGGAATATTCGAGGATGGTGGCCAGTTTAACCAGTGGGAAAGACGCCTGTGAGAAGGCTATAGAGAGACTAAACAACGAGCTTTCCCAGGTTTGTAGGATTAGCTACTGTTACAAAGACAGGTTGTATTTATATAACATAAATTGAGATATTGTCCAATTCAACTGAAAAGTGAAATACAAGGGTTTTGAGGGAAGGCAGTTACAATTTAATCATTTCCAAAAAACATTCAATGTCATTTGGTTGCTATGGTAACCACATACGGCCTATGATTAGATAGATCTTCTCCAAACTGCTTCTAGTGTTGTGAACTGATTTCATTGGGGATGTTAGGGACTATGTGTAAATGTGTTAAAAGTATATAGTTTTTTTTAGGTCAACTGACCCAAAGGGTCAAGATGAGGTATTGCTAATGTGCATCATCCGTCGTCATTGACAGTCCGCTGTTTGCCGTCAGCTGTTTGCCTTCCGTTAAGTTTTGCTTTAAAACTTTACTCCTGCTTGATGTGTTTGCAGATTTCAACCAAATTAGGGGAAATTAGACAATGTTTTGCTCTGAAACATTACTCCTTCTTAATGCTTGCGTATATTTCAACCAAATTTGGTGTGAAACATGATTGTAGGTGGGTTATCATTTCTTCAATTCAGACAGTTTATTCAACTCCTCGGGACTTTTGGGGGATGGGGGAGGAGGGGTGGAATTACACAATATCTTGCTTCAAAATGCTACTCTTTCTTACTGTTTAGAAGGAATTCAACCAAATTTGGTCTGAATCGTCAATGGGAATGAGGAATCATTTCTTAAATTCAGAAATTTGATTCAACCACCTAGGGACTTGGAGGCAGGGCCCAAAAGGGGAAATTAGACTACATTTTTAGATTTTGATGGTCGAGGTAAAATGGTGAAAGGTAACAATTTGACATTTATTAGGAGTGAAGCGTCCAATAGATTTCTAAAATTACTGTTTAAGATATCTAGACAAAATAACACCTCGATATGTACTGCTTAGAATGCTTGTTCCTTGACATGTAGAAATATTTATAAATTACACTGTATTTAATAGAGACTTTTTCATTTGGTGAACATATTTCCAGAACTCATATGTTGTTCTTGAATGTTCCATTTTTATTGTAGCTATCTAGTCAGTTGAAATCAGTGGAAGGCACCAAGACAGAACTTGAAAATCAAAATGAGTCCCTGCGACACAACTTTGATCAGCACAAAAATAAGGTAAATTCCAGAACAGTAATACATGTTTATCATAAACAAGTAAGATAGATATATCAATCACAACAGCCTCGGAGTGTATGATTTTCAATTTTATCTGGTGCTTGTCAACCGGTTCAACCTTGCAGGCTTCTTCAGGACTGAGAAGAAGTCTGAAAGGGCAAAACTGTTCGACAAGCACCAAATAAAATTGAAAATCATACACTCCGAGGCTGTTGTGATGGATGTATCTATCTGATTTGTTCTACTGCTCAATCGCCCTGCATACCCTAAGGGTATCCAGCTGAGGAGTGAAGGAAACCCTCCCAAATAGGACGAACAATGTTGGCCCTATACTGGAACTCTCTCATAAACAAGTATTTAGAACAAAATTAGGATGTTTATATATTTAATTTATCAATATTGTGATATATGAATACTTGAAAGTAATGATGTTAATTGAAGAGTGTAACCAAAGTTGACCTTTCTAATAATCCCTTGACCATCATTATTTGTTGGTCAGCTAATGAAAATGATATAACAGCATTGTAAAATGTTGCAGACAACCCAGCTACTGGAGGAGAAAAATGACCATGTCTCCCAGTTACAGAACAGAGTGAAGATGCTGGAACAGCGAGTACAGGATCAAAGTCTAGGTGGTGATGAGAGGATACAGGCTGTCCTTGTAGAGGTAATTACTTAGTACGAGTTTTTAAAGTCTTTTTGTAGATTATGTGTGACAGTATGAATAGAAACTTGCCTTGATAGGGTAAGTCAGAATTAATTGATTTGTAAAGTCACAAGTTGATGAAAACCTGCGAGAATATGGTTAGAAAGTAGGGAAAATGTATTAAATAAAGTATTATTCCTTTACGAACGTCAGTCCGAAGAGCAGGAGATTTATTTTCATTTTGTTATTTATGTATCTTGTCGAATGAACCATTAATTTGCAGTTTGAGAGATAAACTTAACGGTTTTTTTGAGAGATAACATCAACGTTTAGTGTTTAGAAAGATAGCCTTGACCTTCATGTTTAGAAAGATAGCCTTAACCTTCATGTTTAGAAAGATAGCCTTGACCTTCATGTTTAGAAAGATAGCTTTTACCGGGCTTCATGATTAGAGAACCATGAAATTTGTGTTTAGATAAATAATCTTGATCTTCATACTGAGAAAGAAATCCTGGCATTTGTCCTCAAAGATATACCCTGAGCCTTTGTTTTTAAAGATATTATCTTGATTTGATAACCTTGACCTTCATGTTTAGAGAGATAACCTTGACATTTTTAGAGGGACAGTCTTGAAAGGAAGTTGGAAGAGTCACATCAGCAGCTGTCTGAGATAAAAATGACTTGGAGCAACAAAATATCACACTTAGAGGAGCAGGTAAGAAGACATTTTTTTACATGATATACATGAAGACATAAAGACATAAATCACACTGTCATGCCCACTGATTTTATATTAAACTCATCATCATCATCATCATCATCATCATCATCATCATCATCATCATCATCATCATCATCATCATCATCAAATGACTTCACCTTAAATGTGTTAGCGATCATCTAAGAAAAATTTAAGATTTGAGAATTATTCTCCACTCATTCACTTACTTTCACACATCAACACACATCCCTCGTCCCCCAAAATGTTTTTCGTAAAGCAGTACCTAGATAAGCAAGAGAATGCTTACAGACTTTTGAGAGAGAGAGAGAGAGAGAGAGCGAGAGAGAGAGAGAGGGAGAGAGAGAGAGGGAGAGAGAGTTAGTTTCCATCATGTTTTTTAAAAACAAAAATTTGTCAATATCTTATGACTGGTGTATTTAGTTGACTCAGCGAGGTAGTATGATAATATCAAAAAGACATGTCAATTTTCTCTAATGTATCTTTCATATTCTTGTTAAATGAGACGTGATTCAATTTTTTTCAGATAGCACATTTAAATAAAAAGATTGTGGAGGATAATGAGGAAATGGCACGCAGCCAAAAATCTTCTGAATCATTAAGACAACAGATGAAGTCACAGGTAATATCTTCATTGACAAAAAAATTTCTCATATATTTGTGATATTTTTACTTTCACCCAGACAGGGATTCATCATATTACTTTTGGTTTCATTGTGTTGTCACATCAGTTGGTATTTATAGAGTCAACGTAGTTCATCTTAAACTCCAATTTAGCTCAGAGTATTTCCTTGGTCCTTGTTTAAGCTTCCCGCTTTATTATCTGGATAGATTTCAACCAAATTTAATGTGATGCATCATTGAGTGACTGTTATCATTTCTATAAATTCAGAATTTTGATTCAACCCCTAGGGGGTCTAGGGACAGGGCCCCACAGGGGGAGGTGCTAAAATTAGATTTAAAACGCTACTCCACATTCTACCTGGGTGGATTTCAATAACTTTTGTCCTTATTCATTAGTTAAGGTAGGCTATTACTTAGATTCAGAAATTTGATTTGACCTCTAGGAACTAGGGCCCCAAAAGGGGAATTCAGACAATGTCTTGCTTAAAAATGCTACTCCTTTTTAATGCTTGAATGGATTTCGACCAATTTGTTCTGAAACATCATTGATAGTTGGGAATCATTTCTTATATTCAGAAAGTTGATTCAACCCTTAGGGACTTTGGGATGGGGCCCCAAAAGGGGAAATTAGACAATATTTTGCTTCAAAATGCTACTCTATTTTAATAGGAATGACCTTGATCCGCTTGAAAGGTCACATGGATCAAATATGTTTAAATCTTTAAATGACTTCTTCTCAATAATCAAAAGGTGAAGGATGATAATATAAGGCCTGTAGTATGCTAGGATTAAGGGCTACCTATTTTGTTAATATGAATGACATTGACCCACTTTCAAGGTCACTGGTATCAAATGCGTTAAAATGTTTAAATGACTTCTCTCAATAACTGAAAGGCCAAGGGTTTTGAATTTGGGCCTGTAGCTTGCTTTTTCATATATATGGAGTAATGGCAATTGTGTAGTGTATGTATCAGAATAGGATTTCAAGTTTTCAGAAAATGTCTTGATGAACCAACAATATCTTCTATGTAAGCTGTAGAGTAGCTGAGCAATTTATTTTAAGCCTATTTTGCCTCTTTCATATATAGGTCTTTATGGTCAGATGAAGGTTTAGGTCTATAAGAATCTTGTTTCCCTTATGATTCAGTCTTCTATCTTTATTAGCCCACTATCATCATTTGGTTTCTTCAAATCTCACTATGTCAATTGTCTATCTGTAAACCATTTTTGTTATCACTACTCCTTGAGAACTGATTCTCTCGAATTTCACAGATAGGTTCACCTTGGTCCCTAGTTGTACCTGTTTGATTTTAGGAGTGATCAGAAAAAACAAAATGGCTTACAGATAGCCATCTTTGATTTTTACATGGAAAATTTGTTATGGCTATTCTTTGAGAAGTGCTTGATGGATCTCTCTCAAATTTCATTGGTAGGTTCTTAGTTGGGCCCATTTGATTTAATGTCTGACCAGAAAAACAATGACCAACTGGTGGCCATCTTGGGTTTTGACAAAGAAATATTGTTATCTCTATGTGTAATTTCATGTGTCATAAAACCCAAGATACGGATATGTAGTGAGAATTTAGATACTATAAAATGCTCTTTTCATTAATGCTTACAAAAGAATTTAAGTGAAGTAATAAACAAAATCTTACATTCATCCTATTTCATAAGAGTTATGAAATTCATCAAAACCTTTTCATTTTATCTTGACAGAGGCTCAGTAAAATGAAAAATTGATGGAGTTGTTTCATAAATAACATGCCAAATATAAACCCCTGTAAATGATCTTCTGTATAATATTGTCAACTCTTTCTGGAACTCAAGGGTCACAGAAATTGGAAGTCTGTATAGGTACAATGTGTACTTAAATAACTTGCATGAAAACTACGTACAAACCATATATTTTGGAGAACCCCATTCATATTACATTTGACAAATTAGAAATTCCGACAGTGTTTGATTTTTCTCTCTTTCTCTGTGACAGATTACAGATTTGCAATTAAAGCTGGATGGTGCAGAAAAAAGGGCAGAAGAAAATTTTCTCTTGGCCAACAAGAAAGATTCTCTGTTTGAAGAACAGGTAATTTGATAGACAAGAAAGGAAAAAGAAAATGATATACATCATTTATAAACAACTTGGACTTTTGAAAAACTTCACATTATCAGATGGTGGCTGTTCAATTCGCCCCACGTCTGTTGTCCATCGTCTGTCCGTTGTCCATATGTCTGTCCTGGCATCCGTCTGTCCATGGACAGTTTTTGTGATCGCTATTTCTTGAGAAGTATTGGATGGATCTTTCTCAAATTTGAATGTAGGTTCCCCTTGGTCCCTAGTTGTGCCCTTTGGATTTTGGGACTGGTTAGAAAAACAAAATGGCTGACGAATGACCATCTTGGATTTATTCATTGAAATTTGTTATCACTGTTTCATGAAATGTACGTGATAGATCTCTCTCGAATTTTATATGTAGGTTTCCCTTGGTTTCTTGTTGTGTCCATCTGATTTCAGGACTGATCAGAAAAACAAAATGGCTGACAGGTGGCCATCTTGGATTTTATTTTTGAAAGATTGCTATCAATATTTCTAGAGAATTCAAATCTCAAGTGTAGGGGGCCCTTGGTCCCAGGTTACTCCTTTTTGATGTATGGTTAATTAGAAGAAGAAAATGGCCAACAAGCGTCCATCTTTGATTTTGATTTTTTAAGATTGTTATCGCTACTTCATGAAAAATATGACATAGATATTTCTCAGATTTCATGTATAGGTTCCTCTTTGTCAATAGTTGTGCCTGTTTGACTTTGGGACTGATCAGAGAAACAAAATGGCCCACAGGCAGCCATCTTGGATTTTGCCTTTTAAATATTGTTATCCCCATTTCATAAGAAGTACTGAAAGGATCTCTCTCAAATTTCATTCATATATTCCCTTTGGGCTCATTTGCTTTTGAGACTGATCAGAAGAAACAAAATGGCTTCCAAGTGACCATCTTGGATTTGGCAGGTAAAGATTATTGCTATTTCTGCAAAGGAATGCTTAAATCTCTTATCATTAACAGCATAAACAGAGAAGAGAAGAGAAATGAGGAACAAGATCCTACTTTCAAAGAGCAAATAAAGATCAAACAATGGTGGGCGCCAAGATCCCTCTGGGATCTCTTGTTTCTTGTTCTGAAGCCCTAGCCATTATATAGGGGCTTATAGTTCTAACTGTATGACCATCCAATGATTTTGTGTTCTGTCTTGTTTTGAATCAATGTCTGTACATTAGTAAGTTCATTTTTAAAGGGATTTTCACTGAGCTTTATATGTAACTGTGATGCTGTAATGACAACAACACATCAAAGGGGGTCACAAGAAAAAGTGTAGCTAGAATCATGATATTTTGCTGGCAGGTTTCTTTGATGAAGCTTAACAATGTTTTGAAAAGAAATGTCCTTGACCAGTATTCAATTCAAGGTTACAGGGGTAAAATTAGTTAAAAACTGCAAACAAATTGTAATGAACCATGGGGATAAAATCATGGTAATTCAAGTTCACAGGAAGGGCTTTTACTGGGGACTGTGTGGGGCCAAATATAGCCCCTCTCCCAATAAGATTATTTCATAATATAGTTAATTTCCAAAATATAAACCTTGCTCCTTCAAAGTTTCTTCCCAGCTTATCAATTTTCTTCCCAAAATGGGATAAGAAGGCTTTTTCCCAAATGAACAGAAAAATAGCCATTCATGGGTTAAACTTCTGCCTTCTTCTTCACAATGAATTAAAGGCCTAGAATTAAAGATTTTAATTATGTAAAAAGTTAATGCATTTGTGAAAAGGTTTGAATACCAGGTGAGTGATGCATGCCTATTGGGCATCTTGTTTTAAGTAAGCTGGGTACACCAGATTTTGATATGCTTGCAACATATACCTGGTAAGGTATTACAATTTCATTGTATTCTTTGGTTCAGAAACATGACTTAAAAGCTGAAGTAAATAAGTCCCATATGGAGAAGATGGACCTGGAGACAAAGTTGATAGCCAAGATCACCTCTCTGGAATCCCAAATTCAGTCTCTGGAGGAAGCAAAAGTGCATGAAAAGAGTCTAGTTCTGCAGAATGTTGTAAGTGGAGAAAAAGTTTGATTATTTTCCGGGTATATAAAAGTATGACTATGTTTCCTAATAGGGACTTGCCTTAGGCCTTGTAACTACACTTTCTTACCAACTGATCATTACTTAATTTCATACATTTTTAGACCACATTATCAGATGGTAGGCTATTTGAATCATTCTGCACCAGTGGTCCGTCGTCCATCCATCCATCGACAATTTTTGTTATCGCTATTTCTTGAGAAGTCCTGGATAGATCTTTCTCAAATTGTGTATCTAGGTACCCATTGGTCCTTTATTGTGCCCGTATGATTTTAGGATTGATGAAAAAAACAAAATGGCCGAAAGGCTGCCATCTTGTTTTTCTGATTTTGAAAATTTGTTATTGCTATTTCTTGAGATGTACTTAATGGATCTTTTTCAAATTTCATATGTAGGATCCCCTTGGTCTCTATTTGTGCCAGTGTAATTTTGGCACTGGTCAGGAAAAAAAATGGCTGAAAGGCAGCCATCTTGGATTTTGACTTTGAAAGATTGTTATTGCTATTTCTGGAGAAGTTTTGTATAAATCTTTCTCAAATTTCATGTATAGATTTCTCATAGTCCACAGTTTTGCCCATCTAATTTTGGGACTGTTTAGAAAAACAAAATGGCTGACAGACAGCCTTCATGGTATTTGCCTAATAAAGATTTTCATTGCTATTTCTGAAGGAAGCACTTAATGGATATCTCTCAAATTTCATATGTATGTTCCCTTTGGTCTCTCCTTGTGCTCATTTGCTTTTGACACTGATCAGAAGAAACAAAATGGCTTCCAGATGGCCATTTATGATTTGACAGGTAAAGATTATTATTTGTTTTTGCAAAGGAATGATCAAATGTCTTATCATTTAGAACAAAAATTGAGAACAGAAGAAAAAAAAAGGAAAAGATTTAACTTTCAAAGAGCATATAAAGATCAAACAATGGTGGGTGCCATGATCCCTCTGGGATCTCTTGTTGTGGGTGTCATATACTATATTTGAAAGTTTTGCAGAATATTGAATATATGAGTCTTCTATAAAAACACATTTTAGGCACAGTTAGAGAGTCAGCAGAAGAGTTACCTAGACAATGCTGTCCAATTGGAGAGGCGTGTGGAAGAGGTTGAACAAGAAAAAGACAAGTTGATGGTGAGTTCTGAGAGATGAGAAAAACAGACTAATGTTGAGTTTGTAGTGGGTCCAAAAGTCAGACTATTGGTACGCTTTGATTGGTCACAAAATAGGCCGATGGTGAGTTCTGATTGGTCACAAAGACAGGCTACTGTTTAATCCTGATGGGTCACAAAGGCAGCCCATTGAAAGGGTGAGATTTCATTCATTGGAAAGTAGAAACGTGAGTGTAGGATCTTAATGACTATCTCCTTGTTTTCATTCAGATTACCTGCAGTAGGTAGTTATAATTCATATCAGTGGTGTATTTAAAAGTATCTATCTAGCTCAGTACTCAAGAGTTCTGGGGATCTTTTCTTGTGATTTCAGAATGAAAATTTAGAGAAGATGGAAGAAATTGCAAGACTTCAAAAGGAGTTAACAGATCTCCAAACATCAAAGACTGAAACTGAAGCAAAAGTAAGTACCCTGTTAGTGATCTGTTGAATTTGAAAGTCTAACCTGTTTGCAGATTTGTTATCTCATGGTTGTGTAGGGTTTAAATACTCTCATTATGGAGTACATTGTACACTGTAATTTGATGTTAGTAACTTATCATCACTGCTGATGGATACAGAATACAGGTCTTCATGTCTCATCATACTGTATCATTGGCCTATTAATGCATCGTGTAATACTGGTTTTTCGTTTTATAGGCCACGACACTAGAAGAACAAGTGAAGTCTGTGAAGCAAAATACAGATGCTTTGAAAGAACAAAAGGCAAAGTTGAAAGCTTCTCAAAAAGGTAGGATTAATTTGTCACAAAAAGTGATGTATCATGCTTAACAGTTGATAGGGTTTGTGTAGAGATAAGGAACTTTGATTTTGGCAGAAACGGTATGATGTATTATAATTAACAAATAGAAACGACTTATTGTTCCATGAAACTCTATAGTAAAGTGTCATAACCAGGACACAGCATGACACCCCACCATGTTACATAATGAAAACAGGCTAAATAGATTTTATTGTCAACAGATTTCAAGACGAGTCAAGAGTACCAGTTTTATAGCATGCAGTTAGACTTGATTTAGGGGAAACACCTCCCCCTCCCCCCTCCCCACCAGAAACAAAGGCAAACCCCAATGTCTAATGAAAGTTTGAAAAGGATAGAAGTTTGATGTTTACCACTGGTAAATTGCTGTTGTCAAGCAAGGAATCACTAGAAAAGAAAAACAAAATGAACTGACAAGATTTAAAGGAGTGTAAGTTATTAATTAGAAATGATGTTGTATGCTTAATTTAAGTAGTTGTGAATGGCAACAGGTGTTCTAAAGAATCTTTTAACATTTTATTAGCTAGATGTTTTAAATTTTGTGGGTTTTTAGAAAAGGATGAGTTGATGGTAAGGAACGCTGAGCTGTCTCAGCAACTGAAGTGTTTGGAGGTGAGGAAATCCTCGGAGGAACAACAGCTCAGTGGAGAGATGAAAGAAAAAGAGTCTCTAATCGAAGCCCTTCAGCAGGAAGTGAAGGAGAAGGAGTCACAAGCTGAAGAAATGAATGAGAGGCTGCAACAGTACCAAGGTCAATTGAAGGAATTTGAGGTTCAGAGGTCAAAGTCAATGGAAGAAAACAGTACTATGTCCACACTGCAGCAGACAGTCACAAGCCTAGAGGAACAGCTTGCAGACAAAAATAAGGTGATTGCATGGGCATCCTTCTATCTGTAAATAATTCTTGTTATTGCATATTTACTATTCGAACTGCTTCAAACTGTTTCAAACTTTTGCGATCACTTTCATCCAGCCTCATGCATAGTGCATCCATATCGGTTCCTCCAGGTCCCTAGTTGTGCTTGTTTGAGTTTGGGACTGATTATCATCGCTACATTTCTACAAAGGAGTGTTCAAATGTCTTATCATTAAGTGCAAAAAAAGAGAAGAGAAAAGAAGGGAAAAGATCCAACTTTCAAAGAGCATATAAAGATCAAACAATGATGGGCGCCAAGATCCCTCTGGGATCTCTTGTTTCTATTCATAGGTCATCTTATCCAAAGGCTTCCACTGTATTCCACTGGATCTGAAGCCAGCTAGTGATATATGAAAGTGTTTAACTGGCTAATTCAGGTACAGCTACTGTGTGTGGTGTGCAATATTTACTGTGATAACACGAACAAAAGGGATTATAGGAACCACCCCACTTAGTACAGTACCCTAGGAACCACCCCACTTAGTACAGTACCCTAGGAACCACACCACTTGGTACAGTACCCAGGCTAGTTTCGATATTATGGTGTCATTGTGTGTCATCATAAGTTGTAACATTGATGTATGTACTCTTTCAGGCCTTGAAGAAACAGGAACAGAGGTTAGCAGATTTGAAAAAGACTTTACAAAGAGAACTTAAGGTGCAGGCTTTACCCAATGATGAACCTATCCTGATACGGGGTGCTTCAGATCCAAGCCTTTCTTCTCAGAGACTAACTCCTCCCACTCAAACATCTCCACCGAAGGACTTTACAAACAATTTCGGGGGACTAAGTCCCAACAGACTTCTCGAAGTGCACAGTCCAAATGACAGGAAGAACATGCGTATGCCAGGGGGAGATAACTCTCTAGACAATGAAGTGAATTTTCAATACCTCAAACACGTGGTGCTTAAGTTCATGTTAAGTAGGGAATCTGAGGTAAGCATTTCATTAAATGTTATGTCGAAGAATCTGAAGTGGAAAACTAATTTTAGGATCTTATGACTAAAGTTATGATCAGTGAGGAATTTAGTTTACGTTGAACAAAAAATCTTTTGCTTTGATTTGAAATTTTCTTTTAAAAGATTTTGAGTATGAGCTACTCCAGTAAAAATCTTCTTGACCATAGGACTCCAAGATAAATACTTTTATCAGTAGTATGATATTTTGCCTATTACTTCCTAGCAAATTATCAATAAACTTATATGGGTTAAAAACAGTAAGTCTTTGTGTGACTTAGAGGTTTTACTTGAACAACAGTAAGTTTATGTTTTGGAAAAATATGAGATATACATTTTGCTTTAAGTAAGTTTTTGCTTTGGGCTGTGTTCAGCATTAAGTATTTTACTGAATAGGTGAATCATTAAAACATAAGCATGAACAATATTTTCATTAGTTTTCTGTAAATTTCATAAATTATGTCAGATATGTCCAATGTTTTGACATAATTTGTAAAGCTGTGTGATGATATTACATGGTAAAGAATGCATATTAAACTGCTTATGATGTAATACAATTCATATACATTTGGTGTGATGTCTTTCAGGCTCTCCACTTGATACGAGCTGTTTCTGTCTTGCTTCGATTTACTCATGAAGAACAAAAACTTATTCGTGAAACTTTGGAGTGGAAAAGATCTTGGTTTGGTTCTCGTCCACCAACAGGTGCTGGTCAAATGACCAAATTTATTCCCCCATCGTATTGACAGTGAGCACATCAAGCTGTGATTATGATATTGATTGGATATAGACTATGGGACACAAGGTGTAATGGATTTGTAAGCATGTACATGAAATTCAGTGTTAACATTGGGGATGATATTGGCCTATATGTATAGATATGCTTTTTATGATAAGAGATGGTCTTGTTTCTGAAGGTTGAACAAGTCGTTTAAAGACAAATTTTATTGGACAAGAAACTTGGAAAAAATAGAAGTGTCTATACATAGTGTACACTGCAATTTAAAGACAATTAAATCATTCTTAAATTTGTTAAAAAGATACTTTGTAACGCAAGTTCGATCTCACTGTGGTGGTGTTGCAAAACTACTTTTAACACAAGTTCAATCTCACTGTGGTAGTGTTGCAACACTACTTTTAACACAAGTTCAATCTCACTGTGGTAGTGTTGCAACACTACGCTGATGCTGCATTGAAATACATTCTATGTATACTGTAACACTGGTAAAATTATTTTACTATATTGACAATACGCTGTAACCTGTACCGCAGGATTTGTAATACTTTGTACACTGTAACACAAGTAAATCTTACATCTTTAGTAATACACTGTAACAGGTCTGACAATGTTAGTACAGAATACAGAACCAGGGTATTGTCTTAGTATCAAAAAACAACATTCTTTTAACTCTTGAAATTTTCCTGTGTTAGCAATAATTTCAGTGCAGGGTTGAATACATGACTGTTAGCAATACACTGTAATGATGGTCAAATCTCACTTGATAGTAATACACAGTCACACACTTACATCCTGATGAGATTACCACACTTTGAATTTGTGTATTTAATATTACAGATAAATGGCCAAGATGATCACTGTTAAACTACTCTTTAATAAAATGATGGACATCTCTGGAAAAATATGCTTTTTTAAACAGTGTCACTTTGTGCCCCATGTTATCTTGTTTTTGAGGATTAAATACACGCCTCTTTGTATTAGGAATTTGATCCAGATAGGTCCAGATTTTAGAAATAGTGTGTTTGTGTGTGGGTTTTAATGAGATTAATGGCAGATTAAATAAAAATACAGAGTATGAGAGATTGTAAGTCAAATGTTTTTAAGTGGAAGAAATTTTTACATGTGAATCTCTGCAGTATTTGCAGAATTGTTAAATTAAACATTTTATATGTTGAGAAATATGAGATAAAATTTTGATTTTATGTATCTACAAGCCTTTATGATATATGTGGAATGTCTACCTGGGTATTTATTTATTTGTGGTTGTGAACCATATCTGACCTAGTAATGATGCCAAGTGCCAGATATCAACAGACAGAGGTTCCTTCTGTCTTTTCATTTCTTTCTTTCAAAAAAAAAAAAAAAACTACACACCAGTATTCAAATACATGGTTTATGACCAAACATCTTCTGTCTGTTGTAACACCTTATATCTGTTTTCCAAAGGGAGACAATATTGCTGGCATTTAGACTTCCTTATAAGGACTTACATGGTTTATGATTATGTCTGTGGGAAATGTGTTCATCAACTATACTATAAATTCAACAATGTTTTCTGGCATTTTTTTCTTTTTGTCGAATTTGAGAGTACTCTTACTTAGCAAATCTATGTGTCCATGAAATTATAAACAGTAAAAAATACATAATGTGTTGTTAGTAGTGGCTTTCGTATGTACATACTGTACAGCTCGTTATTTTCAAAGGGATGATTTTTTCCTGATTTCACAGTTCATTTCTTGTGATCAGGAAAATTTTATCTGCGAAATATTAAGATGCTTGAAAATATTGTCCGTGACATAAAACATTTGTTTGAGTGAAGTAACCAGTACCAAGCTGCTTTAACTCATTCCGTAATGATTTTATGATTTGACGGATGGTATATACACATTTTGATACAAGTTTGGGTAGGTAGCATTCCTATAGATGTGCGAGATAAACAAGGGAGCGTAACAACTATTGCTGTAAAATTTGTACAGAACACTTTATGTACATAACTCGTCTATTCACAAAAATTTGATTTCAAGTTGTGAAAATTTAATTTTCCTGGTTTATGTAAAAATCATGAAAATATTTGCCCGCAAAAATAGACGGCTATGCTGTATGATATTGTACTATTTATTCATGAAATCAAATAACAACCAAAATATATTTTTACTGAAAACCATAAAAATTAAGCTCTACATAAATACATGATTTGGCAGTTGAAAATCACAAACCATATTCCATATGTCTCATTCTTGCAAACTGTAAAATTCCTGTAATATTTATACTCAACAAAAAAAGAAACACAATTAAATGATGCAATCAGTAGCCTATGATATTTTGGGAAATTTGTACAAAATGATGTTTCAGTGCCTGATGTGCGCATCTCTTGCACGGATTCTCCTATGCGTTGAATTCATGAGAACATTAATTCACCTAAAGGGAATGTTGTTCAGTTCTTGTGATGATGCTACGATCATCTGGGCGCGGCTAGTTGGGGGTTTTGACGTTTCCTTATACACCTGTCCAGCTCATAGCACAGATGCTCAATGGGAGATGTGTCAGGGCTAAATGGGGGCCATTCCAGAGGCTGAAGGTTGTTTGAGAAAATCACGGCAGACTCTGGCAACATGTGGTCGAGCATTGTCTTTCTGGAAAATTGTGTTATGACATCTGAGAAGTGGAAGGACGGAATCGATCGCGTTCAACCACACGAGTCAGCAAAACACTCACCATGTCCCAATATACTCTTTTTTTTTCTTTCTGAGCGATACAGACAGAATCTAGACTTTTCAGTGAACATCACACGCCTCCACAGACGCATCCCAAACCTATTTTGGCCATATCAAGACGCACTAGCCCTCTGAATTTTCACTCTTGATGTAAAATACTTGACTAGATATTCCATCATTTCCTTACAGCTAAGGTGTACTGCAGGGGGGACTTTGTGCGCTTTTTTTTTGTTGAATATGTAACTGATCAGTAAGGTTGTTTTTTTTGTATCTGTATGACTTAAATATGCATTGTAATATTATTGACTTCAGGGATGATTTTGCATGTGTACAGGGTTGCGACCATCAAACATCAAAACTATAGGATATTGTCCACTTACATGCCTGTCATTCATCATCTAAAAAGGAAATCGTTAGGAAGTTTAGATCTATTTTTAGCAGAAATCGTTAGGAAGTTTAGACCTAATTTTAGCACAAATCGTTAGGAAGTTTAGACCTATTTTTAGCACAAATCGTTAGGAAGTTTAGACCTATTTTTAGCACAAATCGTTAGGAAGTTTAGACCTATTTTTAGCACAATTTGTGTGTGCAAGGTTAAAAGCCATCATGTGATATCGCAAGGTATTTCTGGGATGTAAAATGTAAAAATATTTGTATATAAATTCTAGCTTAAGATATTTAATATATCATTTTAATTGTATATATAAACACTAATTGTAAACAAAAATAAGAAAAAATGATCCTTGTTATATTAAAATAATCTTCCTATGTTTTATATTCTATTTCTTCCATGGCAAATCAGTAAGGCCAAAGATTTTTAAATTAGAAATTAGAAAAACACCATTAGTCGAAGTATTTGCCAAAATAAAACTTTCAACACTCATATTAATTTCAGTCAGTCAGAACACTGTTCACAGGTGGTTAACTCCAGAGAAAATGTGAGAAGAAAATTAATATGTCTGAAAACCCCGAGATCTAGGGTAATATCAGGTTGGCACATGTTCAGTAGGAATTCTGTAAATGGCTTACCATACAAGGTATAAGGACCACCTTCTTGAGTATTTATATTTTACAATTGTGAAGTGAAAGTAATTTGAAAAAATTACAAATGAATTTGTAGTGGAGATTTTGATGAGCAATTTTAATTTATTATGTGTAATGATTTTATTATCTTTTGATATTTATTAATTGCTTTGATTGTCAAAAATCATGTTGAAATGACTGCTTGCTAAGTCACTGAACAGTTGTGGCGACTACCTGCTAAGTCACTGAATAGTAGTAACAACTACCTGTTAAGTCACTGAACAGTAGTGGTGACTACTTGCTAAGTCACTGAACAGTAGTGGCGACTACTTGCTAAGTCACTGAACAGTAGTCGCGACTGCCTGCTAAGTCCTAAGTCACTGAACAGTTGTGACGACTACCTGCTAAGTCACTGAACAGTTGTGATCACTACCTGCTAAGTCACTGAACAGTTGTGACGACTACCTGCTAAGTCACTGAACAGTTGTGACGACTACCTGCTAAGTCACTGAACAGTTGTGACGACTACCTGCTAAGTCACTGAACAGTAGTGGCGACTACCTGCTAAGTCACTGAACAGTTGTGATGACTGCTTGCTAAGTCACTGAACCGTTGAGACGACTACCTGCTAAGTCACTGAACAGTTGTGACAACTACCTGCAAAGTCACTGAACAGAAGTGATGACTGCCTGCTAAGTCACTGAACAGTGGTGGTGACTACCTGCTAAGTCACTGAACAGTTGTGATGACTACCTGCTAAGTCACTGAACAGTAGTTGAGTCAGCTGTATTTGACAATCTGTGTTTCATTGACTGGTAGAGTCAGCAGTATTTGACAAGTCTGTGTTTCATTGACTAGTAGAGTCAGCAGTCTACTATAGAATACCCCAGGGCATTGGCTTTTCTATTGAATTAATCTAAACAGTAAACAGGCACCTAGATATACCAGAATGCACAGAGTAACTGCTATCTTGATAAATGAATTTACCATGAATTCATACCAACTTAATATTTAAGGAATAAGTTGGTGTCCATCACTTAGTGTTTATTTAGTTTTAATGCTTTAGAAGGACATTATTTCAGATAACACCAGCAGCAAAAATATCTTGGCTTTCAAGTACCTTGCAGGTTTGTCTGAACAATGTATTAAAATGGTTATCTGCAAAATCTACAAAAGAGTATTGTGCAATCAAAAACAATACTCTTGATTTCTTCTTTGGACGTGTTTAGTGTGATTTGAGGATTTAAATATGTGAATACAATATTTCCATCGTGACTTAAACATGGAATTGTGATAAAAATGTTGACACATATATGAATAAATTTTATATGCAGGTCCTGTTGTGTTGCTTTTCATTATACACTTACCTATACCAGGTTACTGCTATCTTATGATCATCTTGTCAGAAGTCAACAACATTTTTTAATTTTTCAGTCCTGTTGGTTTTGATGTCTTTGCCACACTTTATTTTAATTTCTGACAAGCAGGAATAGAATATTTTTTGATGAGAGAGTTATACAAGTCGTTTGACCCTTTGGTTTTTTTTATAAATAATTCAACATTGACAGATACCAGGCGATAACAAATATAATCGTGATTGATCGTAGATAAATATTTTCTTACCGCAGATAATATACCATGATATTTAAGAAAGTTAGTGTTAAGTTGGTATAATAGTCTAAATTCTTCTTGAGGATAAATGGTGAGATTATCAATGTTTTTTATAAAGTCATTTACATGGTAATACCTTTATCATAACACGTTTTGTAAAATATCCTATCATTCCCTACCATCAGATTTTTATTAAACCATAATGGTGTTTTCAAGACATGTTTTCCTACATATACCTTACCACATCTGTGAGATTCAGTTTTGTCCAAGTTTGAAGTACATCTTCCCAAAACTTTTTATCACATCTAAGTAAACAAACTTTGATGTAATCACTTCAACAGTTAGACAACATGTGTAAATTAACATAAGATTTCAAAATTACTTGCCATTAACCTGATGATGTATTAATCTCATCCATCCCAGTCTTCAAGATTCAATGAAAGATCTCACATTCACCATTTTAAATTCCCCTTCACAATAATCTTAATTTTAATAAATTTCTTATCAAATTTAAATTTCGGACCTCATGTAGGTTTACACTAAATTCTATTCCTAAAAGAATAAATCTACTATTTTCCCATTGCAAGTTTACCTCTGGCAGAAATGTGTTTTCACTAAATATTTCACTTCCTATTCAAACCACCTGTGTTTTGTCTATATTAAGTTTTTTAACCAGAAATATTTGCAAAAGTATTTAATTCTTTGATCATCAAAGATATCTCAGAAATTCCCCAGACTAGCAGGTTGAGATGGATTGGCCATGTAGAACACAGTGAATGAAGGATATCAAAGATCCGTACCCTAAATGTCACTTGTAATCGGGCCTTGGGTAGACCAAAACTGACCAGGGATGGCCTAGTGAAACGAGATTGTACATCCCGAGGCATAGGTGACACTAATCCACCGCATCGCCAAACACGGAGAGGGAGACTTCATTCTCGACTGGACAGCCAGACCTCACCCTTGGGTAAGGATTAATGAAACGCCTGGATAATCTAAAAACTGGTTAATGATGATGATAGATTCCATAAGTGACTTCTTTTCCATCTAAAATCAGAGATGTATTGTCTGTGTACCGAGTGATTAAAATTTGAATGCTGTTTACACCTATACGCTTAATATTTTTGTTATATCTTATCCTAGTACCTAACATTTCTACACACACAATAAATATAAATGGTGCGACTGGGTCGCCTTGACGACAACCTCTTTTTATAAGTAGAAAACAAGACAAATTCCCTCCCTGAGTAATTGTAGAACTAACCTAAGTGTGGAACAATTTAACCCAGTAGAACCAATATTAAAATACTTTAAGACTTCAGTAATAAATTTCCATGAGACAAGAGTCAAAAGCCTGTTCAAAATCTAGCATTAGTAACATACTCGGAATGTTCTATCTCCAACATACTGCATATCATAAACTAATCTTTTATATTGTATTTTCCCTTATGTATTGGCCCGAAATAAATCCTGTTTGATCCCGACTTGTTAACTTATCTAAAACTTGTTTTATTCTCCTTGCTATTGACCTGAAAGCTATCTTATACACAAAATTCAATAATGATATGGGTGGCCAGTTCTTAAGTACCATCTTGGTTTATCGCCTGGCAATCTTTGAGAAGCTATTTATTATTAAGTTAAAAATATTACCCAATATTAGCTGTTGTAAATATTTGTATAATTGGTGTAAACTTTGATAATCTTCCTTTACAATATAACATCATTAAAATGTTTGCATCTTGTAATGTTCTCAAATGCATCAACACCACACTTAACTCTGTGGGATTTCAGTGTAAATATGCAATTGATTTAATACTGTTGAAACTGTGATCAAACAAAATGACAATAACATCAGACTAGTATTAAATTTAATATTTTATTACATATTTGTATATCTTCATACATTAGTTACACAATATATAGCTAAGACTTGTACACATTTCTCTTCAAATAGTTATCATACTTTCCAGAATACAGATTGTCTTGTAAACAACCTGTTCTATACAAGTGAAAACTTTTTATATCAGAATGGTACTAGTATAAATCAGCTTTATCACAAGAGAAAGAAAACATAAAATACTTCATTGGTTGATTAATGATAGTACTGGTAATAAAATTCTGTTAGGTTGTTACCTCAGTATTAACATGTCAGAAAAAAAGTCCAAAATGCACTCTGTAGTAGCTGCTTTTTTCAGCTTTCTGATGATATACCTCAGAGCTTGACGTATAAAACAACAGCACACTTCATGAATTCCCACACTCCTCCTTACAAAAAGAAATTTTTGACTTGATAACTTCAAAATATCATCAACCAGTGACTGATGATGCGAAAATATGTACAACTTATATACTGAGCACTCATTCAACATATACAATTCCTTAATTTGTAACAGCTTTCAATTAAAACATTTCTTTCCTGCTTTCTAGAATTTGATAAATGATAACATCCCTTGAAGCGACATACAGATGATTACGCATAAGTTTCCCTTGGAATGAATCAATTATGATAATCTATTTGGGCAGGGATTATGGTAATACTAATGTAAATCAGAAGAAACGGTACAGTATAAATATGAAAAGCCTCTCTCGCTTACTGCGATGATGACTTGTATCCAGCAGCTCTGACAAACGATAACTAATTTTCAGAGAATTTTACGATATGACAATTGATATTTGCCTACATCCATGTACTCATTAAGCTGTCAGTCCCAACTATGCTACATATCACCAATAGCACTGCCGGTCTCGCATAATGCAGCAGAAGTGGGCACTACACAGTATAACGGCAATAAACAGCATCATCATGGTTAAATCTTACAGCTACGAAAGTCTTGGAATTTTTACTGAATTGCACCAGATGTTTTTTTTTTTTTATCCAATTTACATATCATCACAGGCGTTTCTTGTCTGTAAGTACTCGTATAATACTACCTTGCCCAGCTCTGGCAAAAACCTGGAATTCAGAAAGAATAAGTCTTTTAATAGAAGTTAACAAAATATTTAGTGTGTTTAAATAATCAAGCCATAAATGAATACATGTAATGGTTTTTTTCCTTCGGCAAAAGAAATTGTTTGTGTAAGACCAGTAATGTTACTGTTCATCACTTGATTTTCTACAACGATATCCAAATTATATAAACACTTGCGCTACAGACAAGATGATATGAATATTGGTTAGAGTATAATCCCTTACCTTACCAAAAGTTCAGAATTTCTTTACTTCATTATTGGGCATATTCTTCTACTCAAAAATCAAGTAATTACATGAAGGGATAGCTAATGAATGCTATAATTTTCCACCTATGAACTTTGTAAAAACTACCTCTTAAAGCTGTCATTTTACAGTCTCAGTTTCAAATTTCAGAAATAATTACTCAAATTATGAAATAAATTACTACAACATGAAGCAACAGATATAACAATATATTCTTTATTTGTCTGATGTCCGCTGACTGTAGATTTGTTGGTAACCCATTCTATGTCTATGATTATATCTTTCACACTATTAACCTGATCTTGGCAGTTCATCAGCAGTTTGACAAATTCATTACAGATATATGTATACATGTGTTATCATAACAAGGATTCTAAGGCTTGTTTGGGTATCACATTGGCCTAAGTATAGAAATGTAAGGGATACGAGACAACAGACAATATCACACGAGATGTGTGTATGGCTGCATTTCTTACTTAAGAACAACAGTTTGATAATATCACTATGAAGTGCAAATATTTGCCTGATTTATAATCAATTCCCTGTGAATAGCTTGGGTCATTTTGAAGCAGAGTTTTGGTGGAGATTCCTTATGGTAGCTGGTGGCTACTTCACCGAACTTACGCAAGAGATCTGTTGCATGTCATCCATAGTAATTAGAGCCATGACGACAGAAACCAGTCCATTTCTCAGCTTCCTGAGAAACCTACGGTTAGGGAGTGTTGAGACACCCTCCTAGATACAGACCATTGTCATCTAGCATAAACATGGCCACTCACCAGAGTTAAGAAATGTTGTAAACCTCCACATTTGTTGGAGTTCTAAAATGAAACTCCATTGTTTAGCTAGGCCATCTTTATATTCCTGTCAAATACAATGTAAATATTAACAGTAACATACACTTGTACTTACTTTATCATGCCAGCCAAGAAGGGTAGCACTACTATTATCTGTGGGGAATTCAAATCCTTTGTAAATATATTTCATAAGAATATCAATAGATTTTGAGTCCAATGCCTTCACACAGCCTTCGATCTCATTATTCTTGAATGATTGCAACACTCGCACCACAAGATTTGTTGTCTTGTCCTGGAAAAAAAAAGCAAAAAAATTGTAGATGTTCCATGAAAAAATGTTACTTTGATTCTGTATGTATATTGTCAAGTTGCAAAGAAATGTCTGTAAGAGAATAGGTCAGATCTGCTCTCAGTTTGCACCTCTCCAATAATGTAGAGTATCTAGATTCAAGAGTCTCCTAGATATTATATATATATATATTCAGTCCTTAACAATGTTCATTTCATAATGGTACCTGTAGTATATTTATTATGCCTATTCTGGTAAAGGGACTTTATGATTAAATCCCTTCATTAAAACTTGGTGTTCCTACAAGGTGGAGAGATCCTCCTATGTATTCTTATCTTTCTATATCCTAAACTTAAAACACTATGCATATGCTATACTTTACCATCAACATTGGACTCTAACTAGACTTTTCAGAGGCGATTTCTAAGTCTATATCTGACATGATTTTTCCTTTGACTCCAATGATCCTCAATGCATGTAATGCAAATAAAAACCATAAAGATGCCTTGTATGTCTTGGCTGGATTTGCATAGATTTTTATAGAAATTACACATATTAAAGACAGTGAATCCAAGATAGTTTTGAAAATTTCATGAGTTGGATTACTTAAACATAAAGCTGGTTTTCAGATGGTGAGTCTTGTTAGAGTCTGGGACTGGAATACATGTCCCAAATCTTAGTTTCCATACAATTACCTTCAGTGCCTGGTTTTTACACCCAATTGGAGGGTTTTTTAGTGCTGCCACCAATGCCTCTCTCTGCTTGGATGTAATCAACATTAAGGGAAATAATTGGAAATATAAACAAGACTATTGTATCAACATATAATTACTAATGTAACTACACTTCTGATTTCTATATTTACTACATGTATATAATATACTCTACTGGTTCAAAATTGATGGACTTAAGGAAACTCAATTTTTTCTATGGAAACCTCAGTTAGGATCACTACAACCTTTTCATGTGACACAAAATCCACACATCGCCCTCTTGATTTAAATATAATGAAATATACTATTGAGTTCATAACATCAAATTATGTAACCAATTATTCTCCAGATTGGATCTTAATGTACATTTTCATATCAGTCTGTAGTTCATCATCTCCCGACATAACATAAAAAAAGAGTACCAATGGGTCTGCAGCGCTTACATGGTATCTATATACCAGCCGAACATTATGCCTCTAGGCTTTATAGTTCATGAGAAGAAGTTGTTGAAAGGTTTTAACAAAGTTGACCCCTGTGACCTTGAATATAAGTCAATCCCATTTCTTTTCACAAACTTTGTCGAGCTTCATCCTGGGAACATACCAACAAAATATCAAAACATTTGGTCCATTGGTTATTAAGAAAAAGTTGTTTAAAGGAAAAAGTTGATGCCGGACGCTGCCTCAAAGCATGCATAAGCTCACTTTGGCTTTCGGGCCAGGCGAGCTATAAACCTGAAAATACATCAGAATAATTCAGATTACCCAAACCAGGGCTGTATACAGTTGTGTCTTTGGTGCAAAGACTTAGAGAAAAGTTGGAGAAATGTCTAGTTTGAACAGTCCTCGGTTCAAATCCCAGTCTGGCTGTGCATATTCCCTTCCTATTGTGGCAGGGTGTATATTTCATGCCTATTGTTAGGTTTAGGTGAATGCTTGACAAATAGATAGCTGAACCTGAGTAGTAAATAATTATGTCTTCAGGACGAACACTGAGTGAAAAGAGGGATGAATGTGACGGAATTGGACCAGGTTGATCACCAGCTAGCAGGAAGTTCAATTGGTAGAGCAACTGTCTACAGTTCAGAAGATCTTAGATTTAAACCCTGGTCTGACCTTGCCCTTTCATAAAGGAATTTGTCAAAAAAAAAACTTGAGAATTATTTATTTGCAGTAGCTTTACAAAGAAATATTAGCAGTCTCCTATATCCCCTTTACATTCCATTACACAAACTTGTCTGAATAATGAGATGATATTTATCTTTCTAGTAGAGAGAATGCCTGCGTTGGGAGTTCCAATGCATTCTCTCCAACCAAAGAAATTTACCATCCTGTTTATTACAACGGTGAAAAAAAAACCTATAGTTTAGAATTACATGAACTTCACTGAAGGCTGAAGATTGCAAAGCAAATCTCAGAAAACGAACCGAACACTACACGAACAGGCCGGGGAAAACCAAAAATGTGTGTAGAATTCGCAAAATAGCCTATATATATTATATACGGTATGGATTTGTAACTAAAAATAGCCGAAATCACTTTAATCTTTGCTTTTTTACTTTTTGTCCTAGACCCATACTAAGTTTGGCAACAATAAATAGGCATTATGTTCAGGAGTGCATGTCTCTTTCATAGGCAATCACAAGGAAGTGATACGAAACAGTTGTGATTGTCAGAATATATCTTCAGAAAGGATATTGAGCGAGTAATGCGTTAATTTCTCCTTCATTGGGACCAATTTCAGCTTCCTGATCTTCATCTTCATCTATGTATTGATCTTCGTCGAACTGGTCGACATTCACTTTTCTGAATTTACTAGCACCGGTGTTTTTCGACATTTTTCTGCTCTTTCGTCTCGCTCTGGATGGCTACCCCACACCCCGGAAATGAAATAAACTTCCGGCTCTTACCATAGAAGAAAGTGTCCGTAAAAATGCAATCAAAACTTTAAGTTGTTAATATGGCAATTATTGTGGACTTATTAATCAAAGTAATTAAGTAACTCTGTTTCCACGAAGTCAGAAAATTTTAATTTTCAGCATGGCATATTCCTACCGGATGTCGATATAGATTGAGGTAAACTTCACTTCCGTCCTTTTCTATACACATTACATTTGCCACCATGGTATGAAAATTTCGCCACTATTAATCTTCAAACATCCTGAGTTCTAATTCTTCTTTGACATTTTTTTCATTGAAGTTGAATAAAGTATTACATCCTTATTCGTACAATCAACTCATTTACCTCCATTATTTCTCGCTTTTCTTTAAATTGATTTTGAAAGTATCGGAATAATATTTTTCGTCTGCTGAAGTCGATATCTAACGAGTATCTAAATGTAAGGTGTTTACAAACTACCCGTTAAAAAAAAGAGAAAAAAATGCCATCCTAGAATAAGGTAAAAGATGCATTAAACCGTCCGTTAATCTGTTCTGTGATTGCAGATGTGTAAACTGACGACGCATGATAACCAGAAATGATCTGATCAGAATGAAGATAAACTTTTTTTCTCTTGAAAGACGCTGCTACTTATACAGCATGTTGTCATAATCCTACTATTGTTTAATATTTTAGGCAAAGGTTAAGGCGAAGGAACTCCGGGGTAAGAAGAAGGAAGATTTGATGAAACAGCTCGATGAGCTAAAAAACGTGAGTATGAATAAACTAATGATTAACGTCGATGGGGAGTAAATCACTTGATAATACTTGTTACTGACTTCAACATTATTATACATTAAATAATGGACTGAAAGTGCGATGCATTGAATTAAATTTGTATTTAAAAAGATATACCAAAACAAATGAAAAAAATATTGTCATTTAATCAGAACTACAAAGTATTTATTTTGGAAAACAAAATAACCTTATTCCCAGTAATGAATTGGACTGCCGGTGCAATACTTTCGGACTGATTGCAGTTGACAAGTGTTGTGGGGTTGGGGTATTTACTGAAATGGTGGAAATCAAGACTTAAATCGGCTGTGTTTGAAGGGAATGGTCCTGGCATTACCTTCTTAATTGGTTTATATGTCAAAATCATGTCATTTCCTCAAGTGGATTTATTTACTCTAATGGAGAAAAACGGGGCTTGAACTGGTTGAATTTAAAGAGAATGAACCTAGCATTGCCTTATTTAGTGACCTGGTGGGTTTGTATGTGAAAAAATTATATTTATTTTTACAAGAAGTATTCTAATTTTCAAAAATTTGCAATTCACAATCCGACTTTTGCTAATGTTGATGTACGGAAATGGAGAGAAACTGGGCTTAAATCAATTATATTTCAGAGAATGGACCTGTCATTGCCGTCTTTGGCGATCGGTTGGTTCATATATCAAATAATGTAACTTTAGCGAAATGGGAGGTAATGGACATGAAATCAATATTTTAATAAGAGAATGGACCCAATATATAGCATTCTTTTATTTTCATTTGGATGAAATATTTTGAGGTTATTTGACTTAAAAGTATTTTCAATTGCTATTCAAAATATGTTGTCTTAGTAACCTAGCATTTGGTTATACTAAAATGATAAGCTGGAAAATGGAAATCCTATAAAAGTTTAATAATAAATAAAAATGAGACATTCTTCCACATGGGTACCAATCATAATTGTTATTTTGCTAATGGCTGGCTTGATGTTGATGACAGAAGTCCAAAAGCCATTGAACTTTTCCAGTTCTTGGCTGCCAGACTGTTTCTCTTGCCGACAGCTTTGTTCATTGATATTTCGACAAGTCAGCTTGTAGGAAATTAAACATAGTGTGCAGTCAAATAAGAAACTATTAATGACTTAAAGACTCGACCAGGCCAAAAAGTCGAAGTACAAGGAACTTGATATTGTTGTTGCTAATCAACCGAGACGGACATTCACAGATCTCGGAGAGCGATACATTGATAAACTGATAAGTAACCTTGACGACAGGTTTATAGACAACCATAACATCTTAATTTTTGTACACTGTACATGTGTGGAAAAATTGAAGACTTGCAATCACTCGGATTTAGAAGAGTCTACTGTAGTAAATGTACTTAATGAAAGACCAACATTGATAACAGCTGTTTAAATGTATCAGAAAAACTTGCTAAGTTATCAGTTTTGTTTTGAACTTGAAGATCAATGAATAAAACAAAATGATTGAAACTGAAATTAATTATTTATTAGCAAAAACAAGTTAAATATGTGGACTCCGATTTTTCTTTCATGGACTCGCAAATTGTTTGGCTAGCAGTCCCTCGGACCCGCAGTTTTAAAATAGGAGGTAAATCCCTGTGTATAAAAAATTAAAAGAATTTTTGAAAAAGAAGGAAGGGACAAAACTCTTCTCAACTTAAATAACTTGTGCAGTAAATAATTGAGAATATCATGCCAACCTAAATTTAAACATACAAGAAATGTAGGAATGCTAGTGATAATCGTTTGCTATATTTTTGAGTTCTTTCTTACCATGGTGAGCGTATTTATTTATGATACAAAAATATAACTTTATTTTTGTGTGACAAATTTTTTTTTTACTTTTGACATTGATATTTTTTGACAAAACACTTGATTGAAAGGAAAAATGATCTATTGTCAACAAAATTTGTACACGACAGTCTTGTGTAAGCTGCTTTGAATAGTTGCTAATTTGAAAATAAAAGGCATAGTTTTAAACAGTGAATATGCATTTTCTAAAGCAAAACATTTAAGAGCCAACATTGCAAAGAGCAAACTTAAAAGTGATAATGCAACTCAGATTCATAAAGAAGATGGACGTCTCTCAGACTGAAGCATGTCCTAAGTAAACTCTCTATAATCTCACAAACGAACACTTTGGTTTCTATTAATTGAATATTTGAGCAAGCAAAGGTTAAGCAAGTGTTCATTAGAACAAACTTGATGCTGAACCTACTTTGCATTATTTTCTGTAGAGGATTTGATCTCCCATGATCCTTTGTACTGCTCTTACTTCTGAAGAAAACACTGAACTAGTTAGGAACTGCTATGACTACATAAAACATTTTTCTAAGTGTAATTTATGAATTCTTTATAGGAGCTTGCTACCCTGAGGGTTGCCAAGGTGACTGGTGGAGCTGCATCAAAGCTATCTAAAATGTAAGTACTGTAAGTTACATTAACCCAAGAATATGATAATTTCACATATTTGAAACGAAAATTGGAAAAAGAACCTTTCTTGCTGATATCCATGGCAGTAGCCAGCTTGAGTGCTTTATATGACCAAATGGTATTCCCAAAAGTGTTCAAGCATATGGTCTTGTACGTATCCTCTTGTGCATAAGCAATAACATTTTAACATCTGGCTTCAAATGTAGGATGTGATCATCATGACAACAGAAATAAGTGATGTAAACTAGTATCAGATAATCTATGAAGATTTTAAACACTGGATCGATAGGACTGATATTTCTGTTGATCATGATGATTGTTTTACCATCTGAACAAGTGTTTGGTTGAAATTTTTATGCAGTGATATAGTGAAATAGTAAATGTAGAAGACATTATAATCAGGCATTAAAACAAACCGCAAGACAACATTGAAATAAAGTTTGGCCTAAATATCAATTCCATTACATTTATGAAATACTGAGGAAGAGAGCATGTTCATTATCAGGCAGGCCCCACTTGTATAAAACATCTCAACTTGAGATTTCCTCAAGTCGAGATTTTCCTCAGCTAATATCTCCTTGAAAATATCTTGTATGAAAATTCCTCAAGGTATTTCAGGACATCCTAGCCGATGCATTCCTCCTGTTTGTTGAGAAAATTTTATACAAGCCGTTTTTGAGGAGATATCAGCTGAGGAAATCTCAAGTTGAGATGTTTTATACAAGTGGGGCCTGCTCTGTTTTTTTCTAAGCATTTGAACACGTCAGATATGTGGTGGTTGTCAATAATGATTTGTGCTTTATATGACCAAATGGTATTCCCAAAAGTGTTCAAGCATACTGTCTTGTACGTATCCTCTTGTGCATAAGCAGTAACATTTTAACATCTGGCATCAAATGTAGGATGTGATCATCATGACAACAGAAATAAGTGATGTAAACTAGTATCAGATAATCTATGAAGATTTTAAACACTGGATCGATAGGACTGATATTTCTGTTGATCATGATGATTGTTTTACCATCTGAACAAGTGTTTGGTTGAAATTTTTATGCAGTGATATAGTGAAATAGTAAATGTAGAACACATTATAATCAAGCATTAAAACAAACTGCAAGACAACATTGAAATAAACTTTGGCCTAAATATCAATTCCATTACATTTATGAAATACTGAGGAAGAGAGCATGTTCATTATCAGACAGGCCCCACTTGTATAAAACATCTCAACTTGAGATTTCTCCTTGAAAATATCTTGTATGAAAATTCCTCAAGGAATTTCAGGACATCCTAGCCGATGCATTCCTCATGTTCGTTGAGAAAATTTTATACAAGCCGTTTTAGAGGAGATATCAGCTGAGGAAAATCTCGATTTGAGGAAATCTCAAGTTGAGATGTTTTCTACAAGTGGGGCCTGCTCTTTTTTTCTAAGCATTTGAACACATCAGGTATGTGGTGGTTGTCAATAGTGACTAATTTGACATTAAGTGGTCAGAGAAAATGAGGTAGAGAGGGCAAAATGCCTTGTACTTGTAATTTGCATTGTTTTAATGAGTTTCTTTGTACTCTTAATTCTTTCAGTCATATTGTCCGCAAGTCTATTGCCCGTGTGTTGACCGTCATCCATCAAACACAAAAAGAAAACTTGAGGAAATATTACAGGACAAAGCGGTACAAGCCCAAGGATCTTCGCCAAAAGAAGACACGTGCTATTCGTCGTAAGCTCACCGCTTCTGAACTTGCTTTGAAGACAAGAAAGCAGATCAGGAAGAACAGTCTTTATCCCATGAGAAAATATGCCGTAAAAGAATAAATGTCATTTTCAAATAAACCATTGGGGTAAAAAAATGTCTTATGTCTTATGTCTTATTTACCCATTTGATAAGGATACAGAGTGATTGGAAGTGAAATATAGCTATTTTAAGCATGTTTGAACAAGATGAAAATGTTTAAATACCAAAACATCAAAGCTGTATCTCGCATGTTGGGGAAGTCATGATTTTGATGGAAAACAAAATCATAATGATAAGAGGTATATCACAGAGATGTGACAAATAAAAAAATCCCAAATTTTGCACTAATGGATGTGATGCAAGTTATGGCAGGAATTAACATTGGATTCAACAGTAATCTTGTCTTAGTGCTTTTGGTGTGGAAAAGTGTCTTGGTGAAATATAACAGCTGTATCTTTATGCTGGTTTTATATTAAGATTTGATTACACCAAAGTAGGTGGACAGTAATTGATTGGGCAAAATTTTTTTTTTTTCTTTTTTACACCTTTTTTTTAATAAAATATATACCTTATTGATAAGCAGTTATATCGCGTATCGCGTAACAATTTTCTGAAAAGTAGTCATTGATGACAAATCCTAAGGACTTGTCATTACAGAAGAGGTAAAGGTATTACTGGAGTTAACACTACAACAGATGCAGTATTATTCCTTGAGTTAAAACTACAACAGATGCAGTATTATTCCTTGAGTTAACACTACAACAGATGCAGTATTATTCCTTGAGTTAACGCTACAGCAAAGGCAGTGGTAATTCTTGTGTTATCACAAAGTCCGTGGTATTCTTGTTATCACTATGACAGTGGAAGTGGCTTTTCTAGAATTATCAATACAACAGAGGCAGCGAAATTCCTTTAGTTCTCGCTTCAACAGAGGCTGTGGTACTATTTGAGTTACTACTACAACCATGAAAGTTGTATTTCAGGTGTTACCACTACAACAGCGACAGTGGTATTCTTCAAATTATAGCTACAACACTGGCAGTAGTATTTCTGGAGTTATCACTACAACTGATCGCGAGACGGTATTCCTGAAATTATCGCTAAAACAGAGGCAGTGACATTCCTTTACTACCACTTCCAAAGAGGCTGTGGTATTCCTGGAGTTACCACTACAACAAAGGCAGTGGTATTCCTGGAGTTACCACTACAACAGTGGCATTAATATTCCTGCAGTTATCACAACAGCAGCAGAAGTGGTATTCCTAGAATTATCACTACAAAAGAGGTAGATTTATTCCCGGAGTTATCACTACATCATAAAAAGTGGTATTCCTGGAGTTTTCACTTTAGCAGAGGGGGCAGTGTAATGTCTGGAGTCATCACTTGCAGAAGAGGTAGTGGTATTCCTGGAGTTTGCACTAAAACGGCGGCAGTGATAGTTCTGGAGTTTTCACTAAAACAGTGGCAATGGTATTTCTGGTGTTATCACGAAAACAGATGCACTAGTATTCTTGGAGTTATCACTACAATAGCGGAAGTGGTATTCATGGAGTAATCGGAACAACAGTGACATTGGTGTTCCTGGAGTTATCACTAAGACAGTAGAAGTGACTTTTTTTTCGTAATTATCACTACAACATAGTCTGTGGTAGTACTATTTGAGCTACCACCACAACAGCCGTATAGATATATGTGGAGTTATCATTACAACACCGGAAGTGGTATTCCCGATATTTAACACTATAACCGAGACGGTGGTATTCTTTCAATTATCACTACAACAGATGCAGTGTAATTTTTCGAGTGATCACAGAACAGAGGCACTGATATTTCTCGAGAGTTAGCACTAGGCCTATACAAGAGGTGGTGGTATTCCTAGGGTTATTGCTGTAACAGTGTAAGTGGTATTTCTGGAGTTATTACTGCAACAGTGTAAGTGGTATTTCTGGAGTTATCACTGTAACAGTGGTATTTCTGGGGTTATCATGTAACAGTGTAAGTGGTATTTCTGGAGTTATTGCTGTAACAGTGGTATTTCTGGAGTTATTACTGTAACAGTGTAAGTGGTATTTCTGGAGTAATTACTGTAACAGTGTAAGTGGTATTTCTGGAGTTATAACTGTAACAGTGTAAGTGGTATTACTGGAGTTATAACTGTAACAGTGTAAGTGGTATTTCTGGAGTTATTACTGTAACAGTGGTATTTCTGGAGTTATTGCTGTAACAGTGTAAGTGGTATTTCTGGAGTTATTACTGTAACAGTGTAAGTGGTATTACTGGAGGTATCACTGTGACAGTGTAAGTGGTATTTCTGAAGTTATTACTGTGACAGTGTAGGTGGTATTTCTGGAGTTATTACTGTAACAGTGTAAGTGGTATTTCTGGAGTTATCACTGTAACAGTGTAAGTGGTATTTCTGGAGTTATCACTGTAACAGTGTAAGTGGTATTACTGGAGTTATTACTGTAACAGTGTAAGTGGTATTTCTGGAGTTATTACTGTAACAGTGTAAGTGTTATTTCTGGGGTTATTACTGTAACAGTGTAAGTGGTATTTCTGGAGTTATTACTGCAACAGTGTAAGTGGTATTTCTGGAGTTATCACTGTAACAGTGGTATTTCTGGGGTTATCATGTAACAGTGTAAGTGGTATTTCTGGAGTTATTGCTGTAACAGTGGTATTTCTGGAGTTATTACTGTAACAGTGGTATTTCTGGAGTAATTACTGTAACAGTGTAAGTGGTATTTCTGGAGTAATTACTGTAACAGTGTAAGTGGTATTTCTGGAGTTATAACTGTAACAGTGTAAGTGGTATTACTGGAGTTATAACTGTAACAGTGTAAGTGGTATTTCTGGAGTTATTACTGTAACAGTGGTATTTCTGGAGTGATTGCTGTAACAGTGTAAGTGGTATTTCTGGAGTTATTACTGTAACAGTGTAAGTGGTATTACTGGAGTTATAACTGTAACAGTGTAAGTGGTATTTCTGGAGTTATCACTGTAACAGTGTAAGTGGTATTACTGGAGTTATTACTGTAACAGTGTAAGTGGTATTTCTGGAGTTATAACTGTAACAGTGTAAGTGGTATTTCTGGAGTTATTACTGTAACAGTGTAAGTGGTATTTCTGGAGTTATCACTGTAACAGTGTAAGTGGTATTTCTGGAGTTATTACTGTAACAGTGTAAGTGGTATTACTGGAGTTATTACTGTAACAGTGTAAGTGGTATTTCTGGAGTTATTACTGTAACAGTGTAAGTGTTATTTCTGGGGTTATTACTGTAACAGTGTAAGTGGTATTTCTGGAGTTATTACTGTAACAGTGTAAGTGGTATTACTGGGGTTATTACTGTAACAGTGTAAGTGGTATTTCTGGAGTTATTACTGTAACAGTGTAAGTGGTATTACTGGAGTTATTACTGTAACAGTGTAAGTGTTATTTCTGGGGTTATTACTGTAACAGTGTAAGTGGTATTTCTGGAGTTATTACTGTAACAGTGTAAGTGGTATTACTGGAGTTATTACTGTAACAGTGTAAGTGGTATTTCTGGAGTTATTACTGTAACAGTGTAAGTGTTATTTCTGGGGTTATTACTGTAACAGTGTAAGTGTTATTTCTGGGGTTATTACTGTAACAGTGTAAGTGGTATTTCTGGAGTTATTACTGTAACAGTGTAAGTGGTATTTCTGGAGTTATTACTGTAACAGTGTAAGTGGTATTTCTGGAGTTATAACTGTAACAGTGTAAGTGGTATTTCTGGAGTAATTACTGTAACAGTGTAAGTGGTATTTCTGGAGTTATTACTGTAACAGTGGTATTTCTGGGGTTATTACTGTAACAGTGTAAGTGGTATTTCTGGAGTTATTACTGTAACAGTGTAAGTGGTATTACTGGAGTTATTACTGTAACAGTGTAAGTGTTATTTCTGGAGTTATCACTGTAACAGTGGTATTTCTGGGGTTATCATGTAACAGTGTAAGTGGTATTTCTGGAGTTATCACTGTAACAGTGTAAGTGGTATTTCTGGAGTTATTACTGTAACAGTGGTATTTCTGGAGTTATAACTGTAACAGTGTAAGTGGTATTTCTGGAGTTATAACTGTAACAGTGTAAGTGGTATTACTGGAGTTATTACTGTAACAGTGTAAGTGGTATTTCTGGAGTTATTACTGTAACAGTGTAAGTGGTATTTCTGGAGTTATTACTGTAACAGTGTAAGTGGTATTTCTGGAGTTATCACTGTAACAGTGGTATTTCTGGGGTTATCATGTAACAGTGTAAGTGGTATTTCTGGAGTTATTACTGTAACAGTGGTATTTCTGGAGTTATAACTGTAACAGTGTAAGTGGTATTTCTGGAGTTATAACTGTAACAGTGTAAGTGGTATTACTGGAGTTATAACTGTAACAGTGTAAGTGGTATTTCTGGAGTTATTACTGTAACAGTGGTATTTCTGGAGTTATTGCTGTAACAGTGTAAGTGTTATTTCTGGAGTTATTACTGTAACAGTGTAAGTGGTATTTCTGGAGTTATTACTGTAACAGTGGTATTTCTGGAGTTATTGCTGTAACAGTGTAAGTGGTATTTCTGGAGTTATTGCTGTAACAGTGTAAGTGGTATTTCTGGAGTTATTACTGTAACAGTGTAAGTGGTATTTCTGGAGTTATTGCTGTAACAGTGTAAGTGGTATTTCTGGAGTTATTACTGTAACAGTGTAAGTGGTATTTCTGGAGTTATTACTGTAACAGTGTAAGTGGTATCTCTGGAGTTATTACTGTAACAGTGTAAGTGGTATTTCTGGAGTTATTACTGTAACAGTGTAAGTGGTATTTCTGGGGTTATTACTGTAACTGTATTACTGGAGGTATAACTGTAACAGTGTAAGTGGTATTACTGGAGGTATCACTGTGACAGTGTAAGTGGTATTTCTGGGGTTATCATTCTATCAGGGACAGTTTACAATAGAGATTTATATGGAAATCACATTCCTGTGTGTATCTATGTTATATGTTTATCACAAATAGTGATTTTTTTTAGATTAATCATCTTCAACTACACAAAGAAAATGTAAATACATTAGATGATAATAAAAATGAGAACGAAAATTTGAGACGGACAAGAAGTTTTATTAAAATATATACAAAACATCTCATCTTTCGAATTATTCTAAAAATATTATCAGAAAAAAATGGGACCAAGACTAAACATCTGCGTAATTGTACAATTTGTGAGAGGTTGTGATGACCACTCCGTGCGCGACTGATATGACCAACTGAAAGATTTCTAATTACTGAGATGACCACTCCGTGCACGACAGATGTCACCAACTGAAAGATCATAACATTAAGGTGAGAAATTCTATAAAAAGGACTTGGGAAACGACTCCTGGTAATATGAACTGTACCAATAAAATAAACGCAAGGAATTTTTGAGGGATATTGTCGTGTCAATCAAAAATGTTACTTAAACTTGTTTTAATAGCAACTGATCAGTGGTGGTCTCTTGAAAAATTAAAAAAAAACCCACTATTTTACAAGTAAAAAAGGCACACAAGTGAAGCACATTTTATACAAATTTAGAGTAAAAAAATAAACTGAATTATACAGCTGTATCGTCCTTCTAAGAGGTAAGAAATGGACACTTTGCAACTGTGTGCGGGCCTGTCAAATGTAAGTTTACAAGTGACAACATAAGATCTCGTTTGTGCACGAGCTTGACAAATGTAAGTTAAGACATAAGATCTCGTCTGTGTACGAGCTTGACATAACAACATAAGATCTCGTCTGTGTACGAGCTCGACAAATGTAAGTTAAGACATAAGATCTCGTCTGTGTACGAGCTCGACAAATGTAAGTTAAGACATAAGATCTCGTTTGTGTACGAGCTCGACAAATGTAAGTTAAGACATAAGATCTCGTTTGTGTACGAGCTCGACAAATGTAAGTTAAGACACAAGATCTCGTTTGTGTACGAGCTCGACAAATGTAAGTTAAGACATAAGATCTCGTTTGTGTACGAGCTCGACAAATGTAAGTTAAGACATAAGATCTCGTTTGTGTACGAGCTTGACATAACAACATAAGATCTCGTCTGTGTACGAGCTCGACAAATGTAAGTTAAGACATAAGATCTCGTTTGTGTATGAGCTTGACATAACAACATAAGATCTCGTTTGTGTACGAGCTCGACAAATGTAAGTTAAGACATAAGATCTCGTCTGTGTACGAGCTTGACATAACAACACAAGATCTCGTTTGTGCACGAGCTTGACAAATGTAAGTTAAGACATAACAACATAAGATCTCGTTTGTGCACGAGCTTGACAAATGTAAGTTAAGACATAACAACATAAGATCTCGTTTGTGCACGAGCTTGACAAATGTAAGTTAAGACATAACAACATAAGATTTCGTTTGTGCACGAGCTTGACATAACAACATAAGATCTCGTTTGTGCACGAGCTTGACAAATGTAAGTTAAGACATAACAACATAAGATCTCGTTTGTGCACGAGCTTGACAAATGTAAGTTAAGACATAACATAAGATTTCGTTTGTGCACGAGCTTGACAAATGTAAGTTAAGACATAAAAACATAAGATCTCGTTTGTGTACGAGCTTGACAAATGTTAGTTAAGACATAACAACTTAAGATCTCGTTTGTGTACGAGCTCGGCAAATGTAAGCATACAAGAGAACACGTTGCCATTTTGTTTGTGTACGAGACTGTTGAACGAAAGCTGTATATGAGCATGCAAACGTAAATTTACTGGTGAATAGTTTGCCGTCTTGTTGGTGTAAGAGGATTGCAAATCTAAGCTTACCGGTGAACACGCTGGAACTTGTGTCCAGAAACACGTTTCCATAATGTAACCGCAACAATGAGCTTATTTTTGTTTTAAGGTGACCAAAATATGATAGATATTTGTATCATTTCGAACAGAAACCAAAAAGCAAACATTCAAGATAGCTGTACCAGACTAAAACTATAATTTATTCAGAAGGACTGTATGGATGATGACATACAAATATCCGGAATGTCGAGCTATCCTGGAAAGATAGTGCAAATTTCCTAGGGAATATTTTGATGGTCAGTGATTGCATGACGCGACTAATGCATTACAATGAATGACTTTAGTTTTCATGATGAAAATCAACTTACTGTTTACTATTAATGGTGCACCCTTGTTTCCGTCTTCATATACTCGGTACACTTTGATTTACTCATGCGCAAAATATATCTGATTACTGTACATAAAAAAAAACTTTATGATGTATGCTTTGTTAAATATTGTAAGGATTAATGAACAGGCGTAAATGATTATTGTACTTCACACTATTTAAGCAAAGATGATGAAAAAAGCCAATACGACCAGCATAAGGATAACAGATAGAACATTTGATGTTATTTTCCATCGTCGACTTTCCTGTATAGACAACATGTCCTTACGTTGAATCTGATGGGACGACAGAGTCTCCCTGTTTTGATCAGTTCCACATATCCAATTTATCACCAGCCATGCACAAAAAGCACACTTAGAGTAATCTGAAAGATAATATTAAGTATCGATTATTAGTTATATTTTTTTAAACAATAATTTTATTTCCAGAAAAAAGATACAACGATATCACATACATTGTCTTCGAGCAGGAAAGCTCTCTTACTTCATTCATTTCGCTTACACCAGAATTACACACACTTTCTTATATTATTCACATTACACATTATTTTTAAATAATGAAGATGATATAAAAGAAAATAAAGGTCGAAAGCTAAATAAATAAATAATGAGAAGAAAAGGAAAAGTTTTTAGCGCATTTAGAGCTACCCTTATAATAATAGTCAAAGGGAATAACCCCATTAAAAAGTCACGCTTGGACGTCGCCACGTGGAGCGAGCATCGGCAACCTGCTTATAATTAATTCAATGTAATTTATAGATGAAGAATCATATTGTCGCGTTGATGCATATCGAAAGTACATATACATCAATTAGAAAGCTGTTAAAAGGCGGTGGATTACATGCATTTTATATTCTATTTTTCGACAAGCGAGTTTACGTGAAAAGAATATTACAGTAATACGCCACAGCGCAACACTAATCTTAATTGTAAAATATGTATTTTAAGATACCAACCGTCGTCTGTCTTGCTGTGGGGATCGTCTTCTGTGGGTTTTTCCTGGTCGTTCTGTTCTTCACACTCGCAAACGTCTTCCATATTTTCCGATTCACCATTCAGGTCGTTTGCATCGAGTCGCAGTTTTTGATTCTCTATGAAATCCAGCGACTCTGTCTCCAAACTGATCTCGTCCCTGTTGTTTGAATGTTTATCATCTTTTTGCCTCTCCCATATAGCAATGTCTAGACGCTTTTTCTTGCTGTGTCTTGTCCAGAAAGTGAGACGATGCAGCTGCAACAATGCACGCATAATATGTGAGACTCTCAAGCAATTCGCCTTTTTTTTAATTATTCATGCAATTTGCTTTTTATTATTCTTGAGTTATAATAATTTGATTTTCAAGTAATTTTTATTGTCGTAAACGCCATGGCTACATCTTGATATTGTTTTCAATCAACTTGCATTTTCAGTAACACTACTACGACCTAATGCAAATTTTCACAAACCCTGCTGAACAATAGATATATTTAGATTTAAATATCATTGAACAGTCACTATCCGCTTTTATCACACTGCAAAAAAAGCTATGTAGTAAAAAATGTATTTTGCGCTCTTGTAATATTACCCAGCGGATATGTGATTGGGTGAAACTTCCCATTGTTCCTATAATGCTCTCTTTCATGAGTATTTGCAAAAGTATACGATAAACAGAATCTTACATTCGTTTCCATTTCATGAGATTTATGATTGAAACTCGTCACGATTATTTTGAATTTCATTTCACCTGAGACTCGATGAATAAAACAGTCTTGTGTTATAGATCTCTTATATATGAAAGCCTAAAAAGGTCAAATTAAGCGAACAAAGTCGTAATAGCGCCTTTCAAAAATCGAAATAACGCCTCTCAAAAGTCGTAATTACACGTAATGATTTCATATTTTATCCCCTCGAAATTTGACCTTTCTAGGCTTTCGTACTTATAAATGTAAACTCATGCAAGATAATTGTTACTATTTTTACACAGTGACTTAAATCATCACTGGCGTCATACTGTGGTACCTACACAGTCGCTAGGTATAGGTTTGGTAAGTAAACTGACGACCACGGCTGTAGCACCAGTGAGTCCAAACAAAAAGCAGGAGAAGTAAAGGTAGTGGAAGTCCTTGATAACACCAGGCCGAGGATCGGGTCCAGGATCTCCACATTTTGGAGTGGTGTATGAGTACTGCACGATGAATCGTACCATACCCATCAACATGCCAACAAGGAGACCGAAAAAAGCGCCCTGGAAAAACGAGAAACCATATATATATTTGTGACTTCTAAAGCTTTTTTACAAGAACTGCAAAGCGTTCTTTAAGTTACCTAAACAACAAATATTCACGATATACGAGTATGATACAATGGTTTAGTTTGTTTTGTACAATGCGTAAAGCTTATAAAATATTGGTTAACAATAGAACCCACAGGTTTGTCGTTTTGATATTGTTTTTCACCTTTTCATTGAGCCGAGACCAGAATAAGCCGAGCAGGAAGATACAACAGATCGGAGGCTGGGTAAAGCTGGACACTTCTTGTATGTACACAAAGAGTTCACTGCCCTCAGAAGCCCGTATGACGGGGACCCAGATAATACTGATGACCACCAACAAGAGAACGGACACCCTGTGTTAGAAAAATATATAGGATTACTTTCGACGAGATATATGAGTATTCCATTGTCATTAGGCTGGACACCATGTGTTACAAAAGTATACAGGATTACTTTCGACGAGATATTCAGGTGTTCAGTAAACCACATGCAAATAAATATTCCTTTATAATCATGCTGGGCACCATGTGTTAGAAAAGTATACAAGATCCCTTACAGCGAGATATGTTAATGTCATGAATTTATTATACACTTATTTTGCTATCAACGGATATCTTCACGGACAAAATGTATTGGAGAAAAACCCAGAATATGTTATGTCAGTATCGACACCTACGGAATACTAGTAAGTTATGTCAGGATTATTCAATAGCACGGATAGCTGGACGGACACCATGGGTAAGAGAAACATACGGAATACTAGTATGTTATGTCAGGATTATTAAATAGGCAGGATACATGGATGGACAGCATTTGGTAGAGAAATTTACAGGATGCATTATGACAGGGTCATTCAACAGGGCAGATACCTGGACGAAAATATTTTGATATAGAAGTACACTGTATACCGGATCATTTATTGCTCTGTCAAGACTTGTTATTGAACTGAGGTTTTCTTTCCAATGAAAAGCAATCAGTGTGATCCAGTGGCTGGAGAGAGCACTTCTACATGATAATAATCTTACCCCCTATTACTAAGCAATAGCATTTTAACTTCGTTCAAAATTTATCTAGCTATGTCTGTCTGTCGTTATCAGTTTTGCATTAAATGACGCAAAAAGAATTTGGTTCAGTGGAACAAACAAGTGATCCCGGCAGGATCTTGGCGCCCACCAGTGTTTGGTTTTCATTTGTTTATTAAAAGTTTAATCTTTTCCCTTCTTTTTTTCTTCTTTCCTCTTACTTGCTCTTAACTATACGAAATTTGAGAATTCCTCTCAAGAAATGGCTTCAATAATCTTCATCTGTTTAATGAGAGATGGTCAGCTTTCAGCATTTTGTTTATCTAATCGTCCCAATACTTCCCAAGAAAAGGCAATAACAAAACTTTCTTTGTCAAAATTCGCCATGGCCACCTATTGGCCATGATGTTTTTCGAATCAATCAGAAAGTAGAACAATGTACATCGAGGGACCAAGCATTCTCGATACTCCAGGGATTACGACCACTTTCGCTCTCTGAACCAAGGGGAACTTACATATAAAATTTGAAAAAGATCATCCAGTACTTCACAAGAAATAGTGATAACAAGAATTATATGAGGACTGAGGGACGGACCACAGACACCAGGCGATCGCCCACGATCTGATAGTTATGGACTAGAAGTGGAAATATAAATTTTTATATTAGACTAAGACCAAGGTGGATTAGAATGAAAAGGGTTTGAATATCCTTTACTATTGAAGCTATCGATGTCCAGACCTGCCGATAATCATAATCTCAAGTTCTGAAGCGGACTTCCGTATCTTGGTCCAGATATCCATGGCGAAAATAGTGCTGCTACTGTTAAATATTGAGGTTAGCGAAGACATCAGACCAGCTAACATCACAGCCAGCATCATTCCGCGCGCTCCTGTAGATACACAAGTTCCTCTTAATAACAACTGATATTTACAACAGTTTATTTTGTAAATAAGAAACTGATAATATGATCATTTTAGCACAGAATGTAAACATTGAGCTTTCCTTGTTTTATATAGATCACACTTCAGATATCTAAGAGGCGTAACAGAGTATATTACCATTTATACACTTTAAGTAGTTTGGTATTTAATACCGTTTGGCATTGTACTGATGATGAGTTAGAAATGCTCCTGTCTTACCTTTGGCACGAGATTGGTAATGAATAACAGGTATTTGTGCATTATCTGGGGGCGTAAAGATGATGACGATCATGTAAGGGTATGAATGATGACGAGGTAGGTGTGTTACCGTGAATCATGAGTTTGGTGACGAGTATAAGGTATTGTGAGCTGCATCAGGATAAGGGGTTGATGAAGAGGGTAAGGTATTGTGAGCTGCATCAGGATGAGAGGTTGATGACGAGTATAAGGTATTGTGAGCTGCATCAGGATAAGAGGTTGATGACGAGTATAAGGTATTGTGAGCTGCATCAGGATAAGAGGTTGATGACGAGTATAAGGTATTGTGAGCTGCATCAGGATGAGAGGTTAATGACGAGTATAAGGTATTGTGAGCTGACTCAGAATAAGAGGTTGATGAAGAGTGTAAGGTATTGTGAGCTGCATCAGGATAAGAGGTTGATGACGAGTATAAGGTATTGTGAGCTGACTCAGAATAAGAGGTTGATGAAGAGTGTAAGGTATTGTGAGCTGCATCAGGATGAGAGGTTGATGACGAGTATAAGGTATTGTGAGCTGCATCAGGATGAGAGGTTGATGACGAGTATAAGGTATTGTGAGCTGCATCAGGATAAGAGGTTGATGACGAGTATAAGGTATTGGGAGCTGACTCAGAATAAGAGGTTGATGAAGAGTGTAAGGTATTGTGAGCTGACTCAGGATAAGAGGTTGATGACGAATACAAGGTATTGTGAGCTGCATCATGATAAGAGGTTGCTGACTAGTATAAGGTATTGTGAGCTGCATCAGGATAAGAGGTTGATGACGAGTATAAGGTATTGTGAGCTGCATCAGGATGAGAGGTTGATGACGAGTATAAGGTATTGGGAGCTGCATCAGGATAAGAGGTTGATGACGAGTATAAGGTATTGTGAGCTGCATCAGGATGAGAGGTTGATGACGAGTATAAGGTATTGGGAGCTGACTCAGAATAAGAGGTTGATGAAGAGTGTAAGGTATTGTGAGCTGCATCAGGATAAGAGGTTGATGACGAGTACAAGGTATTGTGAGCTGCATCATGATAAGAGGTTGCTGACTAGTATAAGGTATTGTGAGCTGCATCAGGATAAGAGGTTGATGACGAGTATAAGGTATTGTGAGCTGCATCAGGATGAGAGGTTGATGACGAGTATAAGGTATTGGGAGCTGACTCAGAATAAGAGGTTGATGAAGAGTGTAAGGTATTGTGAGCTGCATCAGGATAAGAGGTTGATGACGAGTATAAGGTATTGTGAGCTGCATCAGAATAAGAGGTTGGTGACGAGTACAAGGTATTGTGAGCTGCATCAGGATAAGAGGTTGGTGACGAGTATAAGGTGTTGTGAGCTGCCTTATACTCGGATAAGAAGTTGATCATGATGTAGAGGTATTGCCAGTTGTGTGAGGCCATAAGTTGACGGTGAGTTAGAAGAATTGCTTGTTACCTGGTGGCATGAGATTGATGACGAGTGAAGGATACGCTATATTGCTGCAGCCTGTGGTACTGCCGCACACTTCTACACATGTTTCGGTATCAGCACAGGCGACCGTATCTATTAAAAACATAACGTTTAGGATAGATAAAGTTGATCGTGTAAAATATACAACCTATCAATATTCCATCCGTAGTTCACAAAATACAATAAAACCTGAGGTTTTGATGAAGGTTTTCAATCTTTTTGTAATTTCTGGGAAATTCGAATAGCTTAGCGATGCCCGTTAACATTAAATCTCTTTGTATGTCGCAGACCCTTCTGATATGTTTTCTGTGAATAGTATAAGTATGAACACGAGACTGTTTAACTCGGTATATACGTGTTTTGCACAGGACAGGTCAGTATCATCCGGACAGAAATGAAAAGGAAAGCCTTTTCTAGTGGTCACGACAGCTGAACTGCACTTCTTTGCTCTCTTGCACTCACTACTCAGTAAAATGAGAGTGCCAAGTATTAGCTTCCTCCGTTGAGTATTTTTGCAAGTACTTCAGTTTGTTAAATGCCATTCACAATTGTGTTCTGAAAGCTAAACATTACAGAATGGAGGGGCGCTTTGGCAATTAGTCAACACTTTTAGAGCGTGCCAGGTTCAGACGTCATCATTCAGGCCCCAGACGGGTTCAGTCGCTGGCCAGATTTAGTAGCTGCATAATGCAAGATTTATTGTATAAATATACATGTAGGTTGTTTTATACCAAAACAAATGTTGGAATATATATTCAAATATCATTTGGAAAACGAAAAAAAGCTTGTTTATGTAATCAGAGAGTGTAAATGACCAATTATGTTGTTTGCTAACTGATATACCAAAGTACAAAATAGCGTAAACAGTAATACAAGTCACTCGAATCTATTTACTTGTTTCGCCCTTTGTTATATATTTTTCATTGATTGCGTGACTTTTTAGGGAAAACCTTGGGACAATTAAGTATTTAAGAAAAATTACCTCATAAGTATTTTTTAGATCGAAGTCTTTAGTATTTTCACATTGGTCCTTGACATACCTAGCTTATGTTTACACGTGAGCATTGCTATTACCCTTCTAGATCATAGGACTATTTGTGTAGTTGTTTAAACATGTTTAATCAGGTTTACATCCGTACTAACATGCATGCTGTTTAGCTTCACTGTAAATACCATCTTTCTAGGCCGAGCATATCTTTGGAACGTAATTCCGTTTTATCCTCATATGTATGTTTCATGAACAAATGCGATTTTGTAAATTATCCGAGCTACAAATTCTGTATAATTCATACTTCGAATAACACTATGAAACACTTCACCACCACGAAATCGATTGTAAATCTGCATTAAAATGATATGCATTAAGCTAAGGAACTGCTGTTTCAGGTAGATGCTAACTTGGATAATTCATCTTAAGTACAAGCAGACATTGCCTATCCATTTGACGGACAAAATAAAATATATACCACATTTCCTTCAGTCATCTGGTGTCACACTAAAGGCATATCGAAATGTTTCATTCTGAAGCACGTTCAAGGTGACGGTACCACCAATCAAAGATATTTACAATCACCAAAACCGTAAAATATTTAAAATCTATCTGTAAGCATTTTCTAACCTAACTGTAAATGGTATACAACTCGTTTCGAAGTTTTTCATAGAATATTTTATCTATCGCTGTTTGCAGATTCGTACAAAGTACTGAAATCGACAGCGGAAGAATAAAATTAAGTTTGTTGTTGTTAATGCTTCGTTGAAAAGAAATTGATATCTATGTACTGTTAATATAACCAACACAAGTGTAATAGACTTTGGCCTATCACAATTGCATTTCACTGAAAGATCAATTCCCATAGTATTGCATTTGAATCATGACAATAGACAATGATGTTTGATTTGGTGTAGAAAAGTTACGATGATGCAATGGAAAATAGAAGTGCCTCGTTGTCTTGTAAACATACCCGGGAAAAGGATTCGAGCAATCATTCCCGGGAACACAAACAGAAATAGAGGAAGCACCTTCAGAAATCCGCAGAATATGGTCCCGGCTTTGGCGTGGTCGAATGACTTAGCAGCTAGCGCTCTTTGTACAATAACCTAGGATAATCAAATATTTACAGAGAGTAAACTGACATTCACATCATTTTACAATGAAACTATATATAAACATAAGTATCTATTATCATATGCTTCTCTACAAAGAAAATTATAATACAAAATTGATAAGAACAGAGAACAACAATCTATTATAATGTACAGATCAGGTTAGCCGGGCTATAGGTTTTTAATGAAGCAGAAAAAATAAAAATGGTCGAATAATATTCTGTCATATTATTTATTAAAATATTTTTAAAATATCAATAATGTGGACAAAAATATGCTTTGCCACATGTTTTATCGTCGCTTTTCAAGCAATTGACGAACTCCAACACACGAATAGGGATTAATAAAATGAGCATAACGCTGTACCTATCCCTAGTCACCACCACCACCACATAATATACCTGATCCGAACACCAGTACCATATGGAATTGATTGACAGACCGATTATCCCCGGCCAAGGTAGATCTCCTGTTGTCGGATTGCGGAATAAGTGCATGTAATCATCACGTGGTTTTCCACACGTCGAGTTGTTGTTTAATGAATTATTAGCTATGGAATACGGATACTTGTCAACCATACCGCTGAAGCCACCGACCTCCACAAAACCTGCAATATATCAAAATCACCGAATACTATGGAAGCCGTTAATATGTTCATACATTTTCACAATTGAACTGTAAATGGTAGCATTGAATTTAATTGTTACTCTTTAATTAAGTCACAAGCCATGGACGTAATAGAGCTAAACGTTCATAAGTGAATTGTATCGTTGTTATAGCGCTTTTTAAAAACGTTTAACCTTCTCTTATAACTAACCATTGGCGACATGTCTTTATTAATCACTTGACATGAAAAACCATATTTCGGTAAAGTAAGGTTTTCATTGCGTGCAAATACGCTAATTTCTTACACATATTGGATTCCAACCTCTGAAGAGCTGAAAGCATTACAGAATTCTTCTATGAAACCAGGAACCGTATTCACGAAACCGTTCTCATGCTCAAGCATAGATTTAGTACTCAAGTCTTGTATCTTGTTTTAGTTAGAAATGAATAAGAAAGGCTAATTTTGTCAAAGATTTATAAATATTTTGAAAAGACTTTTGAATGCTATATTCAATGTCTATATTTGACATTTGTTTTATAGGATATGATTCAGGTGAAATAAGAAAAAATTATCTTGAATACAAAATCTATGCTTGAGCATGAGAACGATTTCATGCACACGGACTCTGTTCTTTCTCAAACTTACTAAGGATCATAAGGACTGTTGCACCGATGATCATGATGATGGTTTGTACGAAGTCTGTCCACATCACGGCTGTCAGCCCTCCTGAATAAAACAAAAACTACTTATAAACATACATTTTGACAGAAGATATCAGGCATTCTGGAACATTTGATATATATCGTGATTCACTTACCTGTGATGGTGAATATTGCCGCCACACCTAGCAGGAGCAAGATCGACCAATAGATGTCCCATTTGAGTGACTGTTCGATGAAGATGGCACCAGCATACAGGTCGGCCTGAAGAATTACAATAAAAACGAAAGTTATTTAATAAAACACAGCTTTTCTCCTCGATTCATATAATCTTCTAGCTTGATTTATTCGTCATCGATTTATCTAAATTACAGGATGAAATTTGCAATTCTCATTCAGATGTCGCCCCGAAATAAATCTCAAACACAAACAGATATCATGAAGTCCCTTTGGCTAAATTTCGTATGCTTAGCATATGACAGTCAACTGTTTCATGTACAAGAGAGAAGACGTCCCGATAGAAATGCTTACAGATATCTTGGTGAATATATAAACAAGCAAGGCGAGCACTGCAAGGGAAATTTGTATCCTCTGACCTCCAAATCTACGTTGGAGGTATTCTGGCATGGTGTAAACCTATAACACAGAGCATAAAAACGACACTCAAACACAAAATCCACTTGATTATCTTAACTTAAGGTAAAGCTATGGCGTAATCAAAAGAAAACGAAAGACAACATGTTATACCGATATTCCAGATACTAAGTGGGGATAAGATGATCGGGAAAGTAAGATACTTATAATTACACTCTGCTATGTATATCACAGTTACTATATCGTAAGATTTTAAAATTTCCATATCGCAAGGGATTTGTACACGAAAACAACAATCAGTTGTCAGCATTGGTGATTACAGATCATGTCCATTTGAGGAATGTGCTTACGTAAGGCATCGATTTGTCACCATTCTGACATGAATATTGAAAACACCTTGCCATCACACATTGGTGTTATCGATCCCATTGTCTATACAAAGTAAGCATGATTTTTTACACTTTAAAAGATTTCCTATGTGTATACCATTTACCATATTATGGACTATAATTTTGCTGTAAATATTGTTTCGTTGAAACAGGAATACTGATAATGTGTATAAGGTATATTGCTTATCATAACTCTGCTTTGTCCAATGTATGGATTAGTTATTCGATGTTTGAGGAATCATAAGTCTGTTACCTAGAAAAGCAATTGTCTTCTATTTTATCTTATATAACTTCAAACTATTACGAAATTTCTTTCTGTTTCTTTTATGCCAAATATGACAAATATGCCGTTTGTCACACGGTATCGATATCACTAGGTTACAAAGGTTAAACTACATTGTCGGTTAACATCTCAACATCTACATACCTGTCATGATGTTATGATTGAATTACAAACAGATCTTTATCTTATATTTGCCAAACAATCACAAGAAAGTTCTTTGTTTGAATGTATGTCATAACCTTCATACATGATTCAGTGTAACACACCAGCTTGACATTCAATTTTGCTCTCTCAACCAAAACCTTTTACCTTGATAATGGTACTTACTCCTGAGGCTATATATACCGGCAGGAAGATATACCCAAGGAGCAGCATGATGTACAGGGCCTTGTAGATGTAACAAAAAATAACAGCATTAGTTTCATACACTATGGTAACATGGGTGCTAATTACGAGCATTGCATACAGGGCCCAGAAGATAATTCAATAATAATTCGTCTTATCAAGTCTCCGAAAGTTCGGTTGATGTAGGAAATATTCAGAGAGAATCTCTGAATTAACATTCAACATAGAAGTACATATCAATATGATTCTGGAGAAGTGATAACGACAGAATAAACACAAAGACATTTATAAAAAATTTAACTGCAATCCGACTCCTTCTCAAGATGTAAGATATTAACATAAATAATGTAGATCGATCACAAAAATACGTCTTGTCAAAATCCGTTCTCTACTTATGATATATTGCCTGTAGCTATTGGTTTCTGTTTCGTCTTCTGTTCTTCTATTAAAAGATGTGAATCTGTAAGCTATGAAAATAAATGAATTCGATAGACGATGAAAAATAAATGAATAGAGAGGCTATTAAAATAAATTAATCTGAAAGCTATAAAACAATTTAATCTGAAGGCTTTCGGTATATATCAGTATATATCTGGAGGCTATAACTGAAGGCTATTAAAATCGATGAAGCTGAACGCTGCAGACTGAAAGATATGCGATATCATATCCCTTAGATGAATTGATAAATAAAAACGTGCTTTGCTAGTTGTGTTTCTGATCACTCAAAGAAAACATAAGTGTTGGAGTTGCTGGTTATTACAAATGCCTCATTATCTGTCCTCTCCAACGTCTGTCGCACAGATAATTTTAACACAAGTAGCAGTTTTTAGTTAACACATCCATACGGATGTACATATAGCTGAGCAATCTGGGTCATTTTGAGGCAGTGCGTTCTTATAAAGTGCAAGGTCTACTGTTGTCTGGGACTCTGATGCATGTGATACTTATTGGTTAACAGAACAATTTAAGTAACAAATGTTGTTCTATCCATGAAACTTATGTGCCTACATTGATATGTCTAAAATATTTAAACTAGACATAATGATATACTTACATTGAGTTCGTATAAACCTATAGCTATGCCTGAAGCTGCACCGGAACCAGCAAGTCCTACAAAGTGTATACTCCCTATGTTACTTGCGAAGAGAGACGCTCCAGTCTGCACAAAAAAGACATAAAACATAGGAGCACTCAGGATACTAGCAAATCCGTAATAAACACATCACAGTAAGGATAGCTTTATGATAATACAAAAACAAAATATCTTGCAACATTTTTCTTTAAACAGACCTAAAAGCACAAGCGAAGCAGAATAGATATGTGATTTCAAATCCTGAAAGTAAGAGCCAGACAAATTACAAAGGCGTGGTTCGTTGGCAACCTTATCATGCCTAAAATTCATTTTTAGCAGTATCTGTAAAATAATTTAAAGTCGCGCCTTTAACACAAAAGACTCGTAGCTCTGAAGAGACCATTATTCCTACAGATTGGCTAATAACCCCTGCATGTCCATATTGTTTAGATAAATGCCCCCCTACACACACACCCACACACATACCCTTTGTTTGAAAGCTAGGGTAAGACATTTTCCGGATGCAGGGGCCACTCCTCTACTAAAACTTAATAAGGCATCATTCTACTTTCTTTTTTGAATCAACATAGAATTGCCAATTGCATTGCGTAAACTTACATAACTGAGTATCCCGTGGTATACGATATATCCAAGTTGACGTTGACATCGGAGATAAACATAATGAATGGGAACACTTTCTTTGTTCGGTTATCAGTATGATCCTATTACCTCATTATCCAGAAATATCGTATTGTTACACTTTATGTGCAGAAGTTCATGGTACATAGTAAAGTTGTAAAATAAATTCTGAAGTCATGAACTCTACTTGAATCCAGAATTAAGAGAATTTCAGATAATATTTTTAAGATGTTTCAGAGATGTGTATCAATATGAATAAAAGTACAGTAAATCTCACTTGTGTCGAACACGCTTGAATCGAATACATCGTATAAGTCGAAAGTTTTGTTCAGTCCCGATTTCTTTAGCTTAGTAAATTAAAGACGGATGATTCGAACACCGTTGAGTCGAATACTGCGTTTGTGTCAAATATAATTAGTTCCATCCTTTCTAAATTCTACCAACTTCTTTTTGTGTCGAATTTTTTCAGGCGTAGCCATGTTTCAGTTAAAAAGTGTGATCGGTCAGCCGTATCGGTGTTAACGAGCCCTATTGTACTTTTCGATCGAACATTAATCATTGCTTTTAAACAGATGCATAGGTGAAAGTTAGAACTTACACAGAATTAGGGAACCAAACTTATACAAAGTTTTCTTTTTTTCTATGTTACGGTTACGCTTTTACGGTGCGGACGTTATGCTTCATTTATGTTTTCGCGGCCTTCACCTTTTTGTAACCCACCTCAACGCTATCGATGTTACGCATTCATTGAGTCTTATTTCAAAACCTTGTTCACGAGACGTGTTGATCTTTAGGATATAAATATGAGTACAAAATGTGTATTACATAAGGTGTCGGTTTCACCTATTTATGTGTATGTGAGTGGGTGGTATCCTCGCGTTTTGCATTACATTCTTTGTTTTATATATTCGTACTTACGACGGTTTATTGAAATAACAGACATCTTTAGTGTATAAAAAACACAAAAATAGTTTAAGTTGTAACTTATCCATTACTGTCACGTCATGCTACGAGACACGAATCCGGTAAACAATCGGTGAAGATACAGACAATTTTCGATGCACAATGTCTTCGTTCTTGCATACATCATGCCTCGACTGAACAACATCTGAAGAACAGGGACATATCCTGTCCTATGTGAACACTCCTTTACATTTTATTGTAATATCTAAGTCACTGTTTTAATCATTATAATTAATCGAAAATATCAAGACAATATGTTGCAATTGAATTCATTATTTCGCATAACGTTATAATGAACATGCGTCTTTCGTACATATCTTTGAGACAGGATAAACTCATATACTAGTTGACGTTGATCCATGTCAATACAATTTTCTAAAGAATTATGGAGTGATTGAACTTCTCCAATATTTGTTTCAGCTAGATTATTTTCCTTACTAAGCTTATATCTACAAGTCTCTAACACCACGGACAAATCTTATGAAAACCAGTTTTATGCCCACTTTATTCACTTTGCTGTGTTAGTTGGTGTAATTTCTGTTCAAAGGGTTTGTTAAGGCGTTGGAACAGTGACTTACCAGGACGAAATGCATGTTACGTCCAGCCAAGAAGTATCCACCCGCACTGCCGCGGTTCTTCCTCGAGGTCTGCAGCAGACAATAAGCAAAAATATTTACACCACCTTACCTTATAACATTTCATATGATGTAATCGTTCAAGTCTCATTATCACCAGCAATTTCTGCATCCTAACTAGCTTACCAACGACAATCTAAAAGTATTGAAATTTTATCATTTTAAAATTACTTAATATTACTTTTCATAAATCCATTGGATTTATCAACAGAAAGCATGGTGATAAATACATAACCATGAAAAGTCTTTAGAGATGGAGACATTGATGAAATGTCAATAAAGACAATACGATAAAGTCTGCACATGATGTTGGTACAAGGAACAGTGTAGACGAGTAAATGATGATGCATATGATAGTCTACAGAAAATAATATTGAGAAGTATGATGAGATCACTAGAAAACATAATTTTCGAATGCCGACTTACCCAAAATATGAAATAGAGAAATAAGATGAATTACTTGTTTTCACATTTGTTACAAGGAGTGCTGGTTAAACCTCTATCGGTCTTTCTTTTTAACTTCGTCTTGAAGCTTGAGTAACGGACATTCGCACCACAGAACTGTTTGTCTTTATCTCCAAGTGCCAGCAAACAATGGCCCCCGACTAAAGGACATTGCCCAAAATATACTAAGGTCTTCCCAGTTGCTATTAAAATCTTGAGAATGTACAAGTCTACTGAACTTGTTGTAGCAAAAAACATAATTGCAAAATTGGATGGAACTAGTTGTTACATTACAGCAATACTTTATTAATTGAATTGGTTACAAGGTACACAGGAACTTGTCATCCTCCACCAGCCGCCACAATCACATTGTGTGATGTTCCAAGCTCGAGGAAGTCGGAAAAAGTAAGATAGATCGAGAATTATGTTAAAACTCTCATGATTTCTTCTGCATAAGACTCTCCCGTAAACCTCTGATACATAGTCACCCTGTCCTCATGATCAATCACCATTGATCTACCCGCTACGAAGACTAAATTTATAGGCATTATTTGAATTCATATTAATGTGCCTTTACATTGAGAAAAGTTCAATTACTATTCATTTTCTGTAAAGTACATTGCTTGTGTAAAGTGAATAGTGCGCTATATAAAGGATGTATTATTCAGCATTGGGGCGCTATCTTACCGTTCTTCATCACAAATCGGTAAAACAATCCGATGAATAATATTTATTTGTACAATTTCAATTAACTTTGATATATCAAAAATTTGGGTAAATAACCAAATTTTCCCTGTCTTCACAATAGATTAGTATTTTCACTTCCGACTGAATTGTCACTTCACATCTCTCTCGATTAGAAATGAAAAGAAGTAAAAATGTGAACTTTCGTTTGGCTTTACTCACATGGAAAGATTAAACAAGACATCTGTCATCGATGTTACGCATTCATTGAGTCTTATTTCAAAACCTTGTTCACGAGACATCTTTAGATATAAATAAGTGTATTACATAAGGTGTCGGTTTCACCTATTTATGTGTATGTGTCATCGATGAAGCAGAAGACGCTTATAATCCAGGAACACCTGGTCTTATTCTCCTTGTGTTTTTTCCTCTTTTTTCTCTTGTTCATGTTTTGCCTTCGGTTCTTCGGTTTTGAACTTTAAAACAAGATCTATAAGATTCTGGTTCTTAGAATCCCGCTACTGGTAAATCATTATCTAGTGTTCCCGCAAGTCTGTCTAGCTGTTCTGGTTCGTAGATTCCCGGTACTAGTAAATTATCACCTAGCGTTCCCTCGCATCTGTCTGGCAGTTCTGGATCGTAGAATCCCCTTGTTGGTAAATAATTACGTAGCGTTCCTCACGTCTGTCTGGCAGTTCTGGTACGTAGATTCCCGGAACTGGTTAATATTTACCTAGCGTTCCTACACGTTTGGCAGTTCATGAACGTAGAGTCCCCTTGTTGGTAAATCATTACCTAGCGTTCCCTTGCATCTGTCTGGCAGTTCTAGTTCGTAGAATCCCAGTACTAGTAAATCATTTTCAAGGACACCCTCACGTCTCGTTTCTGATTAACTTTTCTCAATAACCGTCAAATCGTTAAATAATACCTAAATTTTTACAGAACACTAATAAAAAAATTCATAATATTTGTCATTCTTCAAACACACGCGTTCGTGACAAGTAATGGGTTATTATACCCTGATTTAACTGCCAGTTATATTGCGTCTCATGAATACATCAACAACAGGCGCGGACATGAAGGTTCAAAAGTGGAAAGTAAGAATCACAAACAATGATGCGACAAGTTCAGTTTGCGACCAGTTATAGTGGTCAATTCAAGTTTTCAATAAAACAGGAATTTCAAGATAGTTAGCAGGTGTGTAAGTAGAACAATGTTAATGTTAATGTTATTAATAAAACCGAATCAAGAAGGCAGAAATTGAATCGGTAATGTAATATGTAAAGCGGTGGGGGTTTAGAAATTCATTATCCATTTACTGTTTCCGGAGAGTTAATTTAGAAATATCTTAATATAAAGTAAAATTGCTGAACATTATAAGATTCAAGTTCATTTATGTTGTTTACACTCGATCACTGAAAATCCACGGTCGACGTCCTTCACAACAACCGTGTCCTATTCAACACATCAAACTTGTTTACATAAGGAGTGCCTTATAAAATGTATTGGTTTTTTTTTTGCCACGTCAGTGATTTATGAGTTGTTTGTTCATATAACCCTCTGGTCAGTCGGTCGCTGACCATGACCCGGGATAATTTCTGCTTGACAACGGATTCAATTACTCGTTTAAACTGGCATGTGAAGTATGTGCTCCATTCGAGCTACTACAAACGAACGGAGTCGTTCTCCAATTATACCAGGAACTTACCCATAATCCAACGAAGAGGATGAAGACAAAATAGATGATAATGACGATGAAATCTCCATAATGAAGAAGTGTTCCGGAAACTTTCTTCTCTGCCATGCAGGATAGGTGCAGTGTGGCTGGCGACAGGTGTGATCCGAGGCGACGTGATACAAACTACACCATGTACACCTCGCGTGTTAAGGTTAAAGCTTACCTACAACTTTATTCATGCTAGCGATTAAGTGAGGCCTACACTAGACGAAGTGGAGTAACCGTATGTTTGTTCTTCATAAAATTATGTTTGGTTTATTGTTGTTTTACTTACACTTGATGTACCATCAAATGATGTTGAACATCAACTGTGTAACTGTGTGATATATGTTATTGCGAGGATTCTGGATAGAATCAGTACACCTTGGTGGTTGTACTGAAGGGCGATGATGTAAGGTAAATCGTTCACTATACATAGTAACAGAAAGAAACAGCGGAGCACATCTGAACAAGCCTACAACATGAACAAGCAATTAGTATAGAAGATTTATAGTGTTGTAAAGGATTAGGGAAAATGTGGGTTACATACTTCTGTATTTGGATCACAGTGTAATTAAATTTCATTCAAGTTATTTGAAAAAGATGATTGAGCGCTCGTGATATAGGTATATTACGGATTATGGACATATCTAGGTGTATATTCACAAAGGTTGCTTGTCTTTTAACATGAAAAGACAACTGACCTTTAAAATTCTTACATAACGTCTCTATTTTCTGTATGTTGATTCGTCCCATAGTTTACAGTCATCCATTTATTCCGGTGTTCTTCAATGTTTCCACTTCGTTGTGCACCATTGATGCAATTAGTGGCTTTACGTATTCCTGGCTAAGTCCTAAACAATCTCATTGTATAATTACCGACTTGCTGAAAGACACAGCTACAATGCTAAGTCAACACAAATTACCATGATTAATTTAATTACCTAAAATTGTTCAATATATCATTCAAGTCGGACGCATGAATGTGGGGAAAACTAAATCTTCAGATAACGCGTTTCGGGAGGAATACTATTCGATTTGAGTTTTTGACATTCAAACGACTCTCAAAATCTGCATTGAAATATATCCCAAGCTGTTCGCTCTTTTTCGCTGACGACTTGCCGCTCGTGTTGACTTTTCTAATTCTGGTGAGGTAGCCGACAGCTATATTGGACGTCACCTTCTCAATATTTCTTGGACTTCTCTCCTTTGGTGGAAACTTGATGCAAATTGACTCCCTTCTTGGACGTCACCTTCTCAATATTTCTTGGACGTCTCTCCTTTGGTGGAAACTTGATGCAAATGGACTCCCTTCTTGGACGTCACCTTCTCAATATTTCTTGGACGTCTCTCCTTTGGTGGAAACTTTATGCAAATTGACTCCCTTCTCTCTTAAAAGTCAATAATAGAAATAAAATGACATCATAAAATCACAAGATGTTCGTTAGACATGAGGAACTGCCTGCTACCTTCTCAGACACAATAAGTCAAAACAAAGCCGAGAGAACAAAGCTGTCACGGAACAAGTGCCAATATATTAGCCCGTGTCTCGTCGTTGATATATCAAGGCTGAGAAACTCGTGGTTGTCATAAAATCCAAAACAAAATGTTCCATTTTATTGATAAAATACTTCAATGTTAAATATGAGTCTGTCAACAAGGCTCGGAGTTCTAGTACGTTGGATCTTGTTTGCCTATGAAACACATATAAACTCCAATCAGCTTGAATTTACGCTTCTGTAGGCTACTTACCTTTGTACTATAATATACAAAAGCTACTGTACCATCAACGTTGAGTTTGATACAATAGGTTTTTAAGCGTGTGCACATATCGAAACTATTGAAAGATGACAATTATATGACTATAAATTGCACCGGACATTTAACTGCGTAAAGAGAGTATAATGTAAACAATCGGGTGCCATACAACATATGACAACAGACTTTGTGTTTCTATTGTTCTCGGTGTTGTTGTTTTAATTAAGAACTTCTGTTAATCTGCATTGGGAGTCACTTAAGCTATCCAAACAAATATTGTGTGACATCATTATCATTCTGTTTGTCTGATCTTCAAGTCTCGAAATAAAGGTGTCTTCTCACTTAGCCAACATTTTGATTTTTATGGTATACAGGTAAGGTAATTTGTTGGCCAGGTGAGACTAGGTGTGAAAGGTAGAACAATAGGAGATAATTACAGGTAAGACTATAGACTGCTTCATAAACTTCTTTCGGGAGAAAATAACTCTGGATAGTTAAGAATTACACGTATATTTATTTCACATTGAATGCATTTACAGTATTAACTTACTTATATACCCTATATATAAGAAACATAGCTATATATAAGAAACATAGCTACTATTTTTCAATTACAGAATCATAGAAAAACAGGAATTTCATAAAGTACACATATAGCTACTATTTTTCAAGTATTTTAATTATATATGTACATACACATATATAGTCAAATAAATTAGTTGATGTTAACCTGTGCATTAGCCATCATTGAATATGAACGATTTGAAAATATGAAAATTAGCGCAAGACCTTTGGTATGTTTTATTTGAATTTCAACCCACCCAAGCCAAGAAGAAAGCTTTGATGTCTTCTGTCATCACATCCATGTTTTAAATAATTTTAGTTACAACAACACTACTATATTAGGTAAACATTTAGGTACACAATTACCTTTATTTCACGAACGGACTATTAAATGATAAAACAACATTTAGGCGAATAATGTTAACGATATCTAATTGTATGTAACAATTCTATCAATTATGTAAGTGATTAACAGAAGACACAACAACATCTAATAGGATATTATATATTTTAGAATTACTGGTAGCACGGAATAGATTTTTTTGCGTTTTCAGTTCTAAATCTGTCATTTTGGAAAAAAAATATTGATTAAAACACTTGTAAATACATTTTTTATTGATATCATAATTTAAACTCTTGAGATTAAGATTTTAGAATATAATACATAACGCATGTAAATTTAAGTACATATATAAGTAATTGCCGCAAACATTTAAGAATTAAATATGATTTCCTACATGAGTTGATTTAAATCAGTTCTAATTCTGTCATTTTGGAAAAAAAATATTGATTAAAACGCTTGTAAATATATTTCTTATCGATATCACAATTTAAACTCTTGAGATTAAGATTTTAGAATATATTACATAACGCATGTAAATTTAAGTACATATATATTAAGTTATTGCCGCAAACATTTAAGAATTAAATATGATTTCCTACATGAATTGATTCAAATCTTTATTTTATAAATCATATTCAGCTAGTCATTTTTTATATTTTCTGTCAAGGAAAGTAGGAACAGACTATAGCTGAAAATCAATCAGGTGTAAAATTTGACATGTTGGCCAGGTAGTACAGGTAAATTTCAGAATGTTGGCTAAGTGAGAATGAATCGAAATAAGGAGGCGAGTGTTAACAATTTCGAAATAACGAAGAAGGAATAAATCAATCAATCTGGAATTAACTAAGAAAGAACTAATTGTGCAATTTCGAATTGACGGATAACGTTGATTCAGCTATCTCTTCGTGCAAAATACAACGAATTGAAAGTCATTTAATTAACTTTGGAAGAGGGATAACTGTACAGCTATCAATCCTTAAGTGAAGAATCATTTTTCCAATTCTGAAATACAATCGTGAGAGAGAATGCAGCAATCTCGTCATATGAAATGTACGTTCAACTAAAACTATATTTTTAAAACAATCAAGGAATATCTAAACCTCAAAGTTTCGGTGATTTCCCCAATATAAATGCACACGATGAACACAGGAAAGTAAGAAGGGTGAAATAACATTCAAAATGCTCACGGAGAAGGTTACACAGGGCTGCTTAGTGTTGACAACCACGTGACAGCTACACATAATGACAACTGTGTCCTCGCCTCATCAATATGTGCTTTACGTAAATAATTAATTGTCTACTATCATCTCTTATTCATAAACCTATTTCGTTTCAATAAAGTTGTTGAAAAATGACACAACATAAAGGTTTTTTCCCGTCGTTATCTTAAATATCTGTCAAGGGGAGCTTTATATTTTTGAAGGAATGTTTTCGTGGTATTTTTAAGCATAAGATTTTGGTAATATTGTTTTCTGTTTGTTTTTCAATACAGATAAAAATGAGTAAATAAAGAAATTAGTAAATAAACAGATAAAATGTTATTAATAGTAATAAGAAAAGAAATCAACCATTCAAAAAAAAAATCTGCAATTAATACCTAAATATTCACTTCAACCTAATTTATCAGTTGCAAATATTTCCGTTAATTATGAACATTGAAAAGAAATATAGATTATACTTTTCTTTTTTTTCACTTTATCAAGTTCAACAATTTACACACAGAAGAAATTCGAGGCAAAGTCTAGAGCTGGTCGTGAATATCCACAATTAATTTTCTATTTGTTACAACAATGATGAGTGAAGTTTTGTCAATCTGTAACAGTTAACATATCGGTACAGACACGATAATGATACAGCGGCAGTAATGAATATAGATGTACTTCGCCATTTGTGCCGTATCGATATTTTTCCTAAACGATTATTTGTTCCAGAAAAGTAGTTTTATAGATCATAAGATTAATTATATTGATTAGGTCAGCACGACACCAAAGTTATCTCCCCTTGTCATTAAAGGAGAGTTATCTCCTCCTAGTGTATGGTTTTCGTTTTTCCTCTCATGGACAGCGAATATTAAAAGCAACAGCCATAACAAAGAACGAAAAGGAAAATATCATTTTATAAACGAGCCAAATAATGTGGTGAGGACAATTCAAACGGAGCTAGCTAACAATATGGATTAATATCTGAATATTAACAAATTGTTACCAAGGCAACCCTCTCTATTCGTCAGAGACATTAAGATAAACAAAAAACTCTTTATGAATAGCGCAAGCATTGAAAACTCAAACAACAGCGAATTATGTCTAATATCTCCACTCTGGTATAAATATTTGGAGTAAAGCCTAACTCAACAAATCACTCGTTACAACTTCTGTTGTCCACGGTCAACTAGGACCGGTGCTGACTGGGACCTGCGTTGACT